ATATGCCATATAAGTCAAGGTAGGCAATGTAAATTTGCATATAGTGCGCGATTTGACAATCAAAATCATATCCGTTTAGCAGACACATTTTTGTAGCGCATATCAGGCCTGTAGCCAGGGGGGGTTCGGGGGGTTTCGAAAGACCCACCCCTTCATGACAAGGGTCCAGAATTTGTCCCATACATGAGCTCATTTGTCTTATTTTGACTGCTATGCCATCATAAATAGATAAATTAATCCATTGAAAAGGGCTTTAAGACCAAGCAAAATCCTATATAAAAATGAATTTGAAAACTAATTTGGCTATTTTTGTTATCCATGAATTTTCAATTCAAATCAAATGTATTTTTTTTACAAGAGAGGCTAGATCAATTGTGAAGCTCTTTTATTATTATGTTTTTTTTTATTATTATTAAAATAGACAAATTCAGTTTGTAGGCTACAGCTACAATAGGCTACAGTTTTTAATTTAAAACTTTAACATTCTTTTTTTATGATTCATGATGTAATAAATTTGTACTTTAAAAATAATTATTTATTCATTTTTCTTTACTCTAAATGATTAGGAAAAAAATAGCTAAAAATAGTGCTTAAAATGTCACTAAAATACAGTATTTATTTTGTAATAATAAATGTTTTATTTTTGTAATTGTAAATGGGGTGAATAACTGCAAAAAGGTCCACATTTTGAGAAAAAGAACCACCCCTTGTACCAGGCTGGCTACGGGCCTGCATATGTATGTATTATGTAGAGCATACATGCAAATGGAGCCGTTTTCACAAATCAAAAAGCCATCCGATCCGAGAAAACGCATTTCAAGAGTTCACACTTAGCTGATGATTGATAATAAAGATTGTTTGGCATGCTATCCTGGGAGAGAGCCCTGAGCTTATAAGATCCTCGAGCCCTGGGCTCCCGTTGCAGGGCGAGAGGGGAGTTTGAGCTCAGGTAGATCTCAATGACTTGAGATCAATGAATGAAGTGTCAGTTATGGACACTGAGAAGGTGTACTCAGAGCTTGGCTAAAATAGTTTGCATTAATTGTTTAGGGTGCTTGTTTTTGAACTGTGGGAGGAAACCGGAGGACCCAGGGAAAACCTACGCGAGCACGGGGAGAACGAGCAAAACTCCGCACAGAAATTTCGCCTGGTTTGGAAGGGAATTAAACCAGGGGAATTCTTGCTGTGAGGCAACATCGCTAATCACTGGCCACCTTGTTTGAAAGGAGGGAAAGTAGGATTGGGTGGGGGGGTTTCTTCAAGACGAAGATATTGTGATGAGAAAAGTCTGGTTATTTATAGTGAGTTAAGGATCGTCTAATAGGATAATTAGTCATTAGCTAAAGTTGGAACAGCTGTGAACAATCATAAGCACGTGATCCTCTCGAAATTTGTTTATAAATAAACTTCACGAAGAGAGCAGGTGTAAACAGACCAAATCCTTGATCCAGATTGTAATTTCATAAAATTTCTAATTACTTGTTAAACCGCCATTCCAAGTCATAAAAAGTAAAGGTCTTTGCACACTGAAGTCTAACATTTTTATATGTGTTTTTCTTTTTGTTTTTAAATCTGAAAAATTCATCATGCACACAAAGCTTGCGCACAGAATCCAATGCATATGAATTAATCTGTTGTAAAATAATTAACCAAACAATATAAAATTCATGAGTAAAAAAGTAAAAAAGTCCTTAAGTAGTGAAGATGATTTTGTTGTCTTCTCCCTACTTATAGAGAATAGAAATATTGGGTCCTGACCACCAATTTCCGTGAACCAACCCAGCAGGCACACAACGTCATAAGACATTAATATTAGGTTAGATTTAGGTCGTGATGTTGGGTGACCAAAATTTTATGTCTAGCAAGCATCTTAGCACAATGTTATTTTGATGTCCAATAAAGACGTCATATTTGGTCGATTTTACATTGTGTTGGAAAGTGACCAAAAACCAACGTCAAACAACATCTCTAACCAAAATTGTATTGACGCCAAATACTGACATTTATTCGTCAGTAATGGCAGCCAAAATCCAACATCTGACAGACGTCATCGTGGTAACGTCCACACAGCATCAAGCTGTAACATCATTAGACGTTGATATTTGGTTGGATGTTGGACACTGACGTTGGGTTCTGATGTCAACCCTATTTTCATTTCCAAACAAACTGCAACGTCCCTTTGAAGTTGCTTTGAAATCTGATGTCATGTTGACGTCCTGTGCATGCTGGAAATTGATCCTGAACAGTGACTGGCAGTTTGTCTAAGGCAGTGGTTCTCAAACTGTGGTACGCGTACCACTAGTGGTACGCGGGCTTCCTCCTAGTGGTACGCGGAGGAATCGCCAAATAATGAAAGAAACAATTAACACTTTTAATCCTTTGATGCGTAATATAACATCGATGTGATCAGCATGGTCTGCTTGGTGAAGCGTACGATCACAACGCTGTGCTTAGAATGTTTACTTTAGTGCTTTGTGACATAAGCTGCTGAAAATCAGTTTCCGAAGTTTAAGAATTGATTCTGAAGGGTGATTTGACTGACATGAAAAGTAGCCAATCACAGTCGACCTTTTCTAGTCGCGTGAAACGTAAGGGCGGGACAAAGGCTTTCTGTGTTGCAGAGACAGAGAAAACGACTTAAAAACAAATGTTTTGTTGGAATAATGCTTCTCGGATGTTTTCACTATAGAGATGTCTAGCAGAGTAATTAAACCGCGGACATATTTCCTGCCTTTTTGATGATCTACATACACGTTTCGCTCTCCAACAGCCAGTCGACTCGCCTCTGACCTGTCACTCCTCTAAATACATTCTGAATGGCGGCGCGGGAATGGAGGTATTGCGCAATTACTCATTTCTGCAAATGTGGCGAGTGCTTTATTTTAACACGAGAGCGCATTCATGTACGCAAATCGCTAAAACAGATATGCTAGCTCCTAAATAGGCTTTTTTTTTTTCAAATGAACTGCAAGTCCTCTCATGGTCGCCTGTGTGCTCAGATTGAATACAATCGCGATCTTTCCACTATTAAAGTAGACATTATTTATATTTATTCCTTGACTAAATTTAGTCAAAAGTATTCAAAGTTATCAAGTATTTAGAATTAGATTGATGCATGATCGATGACAATGCAAATGGTCTTCTTATTTGGCTGTGTTGTGAAGTGAAACTTACTTTTAGCAAAGGGGGACTTATTTCTTTCTGGATGAGGTATTTGTGTGATTTAACGTTATACATTTAGCTGTATTCTGATCTGTCTTAAAGCATTACAGGTCAAAACAATTCGTTGTTACGTATTGTTTATTTATCAAAATTAACAATAAGGCTCTTAAAGCACTGCTTTGATAAATGTAGTGTTGTCATATTTCAAATACTTCAAGTAAAATGAAGTCATTTATTTATTTTTTTTACTGACAGTGTACTTTTATTTATTTTTTTGTATTTTAGATTAAGATCAAGTGTAAAATAAAATCTACATGTGATGTACAGCTATTTAAGAAACATATTTGCCATATTGTAAAGAAAAATAGTGTAAAATATGTAATTAAAAGGCTAAATTTAAATATTTTACCATATTCTTTAATTAAACCTTTCAAAGCTTGAAAATAATGTTTAAAACTGGGCAAAAAGTGTCTCTATGGCCTTAAAGTTTATGTGGTAGTTTTGCCAGTGCTATTGAAAAAAGATTAATTGTCATGAAAGGAAAAATCGACCATACTTCCTTTGTCAGTGCAAATTCCTATACAAGTAGCTTTGAGATTTAAGCAATTAAACCATTCAATCAGGTTTACACTTAAAAAAAAGTGATTTCATAATGACAATCTGATTATTTTTTTTCAAAAGTAACCAACTAGTACTTTTTAAAAGAGTACTTTGTACTTTTACCTAATATTAGTATTATTTACTAAAATTTGTGTTATTTTAGCAGTGTAATAGTATTTTTCCTTGAGTACAAAAAAGATTTCACAAGCATTAAGTGCAGGTTTATTATATTATTAATATATGATTAATAAATATTATTATTATTATTATTATTAATGGTTTTTATGTGTATCTATTCCTATGCAATGTTTTATGGGTTGCTGACAATACATTTCAGGTCTTCAATACATAGCATGTCAGTCTTGAAAAAAAAATAGGTGCTGGAATTGATTTACATTAGGCTGTGCCTGTATGAACCCTGTCATATGTACATTTAACATTTCAAGATTTGTCTAAAAGTGTATGAATATGACATATAGCCTATATTTATGAGGTCCAAGCAACATTTCCAGCTTTTGATGAATAGGCTATTATGAATACTTTAAATTTAAGTGCAGCAGTTTTCTTTTTACTTTTTAAAAACAGCGCCATTTTTTATGAACCTTTAAAAGCACATTTTAACTAAAACGTTTTTTTTTTTTTTTTACCTGCAAGCACAGTTAATGTTCAGACTATTTAAAATGTTTAAAGTGACTGACAATAATACATATTCTTAATAATAGGAATTAATCTGCATCGTTTTTAAACTGTGCACACATGTAGCTGCTTAATTAGGCCCACAACGCTATTTTTAATACTGGTTAAAAAATAGCGCCGTAAGGTGGTACTTGGAGAGACAATTTTTTTCTAAGGTGGTACTTGGTGAAAAAAGTTTGAGAACCACTGGTCTAAGGTATGGAGACACAAACAGACACACGCAAACACACACACATACACACATTTTGCCTTACACTTCTACAGCGGTTCCTGAAAGGTCAAAACACCTTTCAAAAGCCAATTCGGATGCAAAAAATGGCAAAAATCAAACCCTGATTAGAATTTTTTTTTATGGCAGACAAAAGTTTTAAGGCAGTGTGTCAGTACGATTGACACAAATTGAGGTTGAGTTTATTTTTTAGCATGCGGAAATAACAGCAGAAAATTTAGGATTTAGTGTGCAATAACTTTAAGCCTAACGGAAAACAGCTAAAGTCACCCAAGAATGTCATTTAATTTCGTAAGTGACACAATTCTCTTACCTTCTTGGATTTTAGAGTTTTCCGCCAGAGTGTGGAGAAGATACCATCTGTCCAGTCATTTGTGGCCACGTCCAATGTGCCAAACATCTGGGAGGCAGTGATGGCCTTGGGATTCATCCTCATCTCCTTGTGAGGATTTCCACAGTCTGTCATGGCTTTCATTAACGTGTGGATACACGTGGTTTTTCCTGTTCCACTGGGACCAAGGGTCATCATACCTACAGTAGAAGTCAAATAGTAAGCCTTCCTGTGATTTTTCTTTCCTTTTCAAATATTTACAAAATGATGTTTAACAAAGCAATGAATTTTTTACTGTATTTCTTATATTTTTTTCTTCTAGAATAAGTATTTTTTTCGATATTTTTTATGTTATAAAATGATTTGCCTAATTACCCTAAGTTGCCTAATTAACCTAATTATCCTAGTTAAGCCTTTAAGTTGCACTTTAACTTGCACTTTAATACTAGTATCTTGACAAAATATCTACTGAAATATAATAAACTGTCATCATGGCAAAGATAAAAGAAATGAGTTATTAGAAATCAGTTATTAAAACGATTATGTTTAGAAATGTGTTGAAAAAACATAACTACAGCCTCCACTTTGTGTATTCCTGTAGTCTGAGCATGTGACATATATTTGTCAAATGAATAATGAATGACTAACCGTGTCTCACTCTCTGAGTCTCATACAGTTGCACAAGTTTAAGAATCCAGGGTGGGTGTGCAATCAGTCCTGCTTCTTCAGCTTGTTTGGTGATAGCAGCTTCCAGGTCAGGGTAACCAGCTTTATCCAGCATGATCCCCGGAAACAGGTCATTGATCAGGCTCATGAACAGAGGCTCATCTTCATCAACCTGAATGAAGATCAAAATAGGGTTATTTGCTGAGAGTATTTGTGAAAAAACAAACATCTGTACTGTTACTTCACGATGTTATTTCTGATCAGATTTTGATTAAATTCACCAGTTTGGAGAGGTTCATGTCACGCAGAACTCTCATGACCACAGTCTTTTCTGGCTCTGTTGGATTGGACCTCTTAACAGCACCCAACGTTCTTAAAACAGACAAGATGTTCCTCAAGCCAAAGTCATAATGGACCTGTTGAGTATTCAAAAAGTTTGAATAAGCATCAGCAAGAGCTGTCATGACCATCTACAAATAAAACATTTATTTTTTGTTTATTTTTTTATCCAGCTTATTCAGAATAAGACAACGACTAACTCATAAAAAATCATGAAAAACAAACATTTGTTTAATTATTGTATAATTTAAAATGGTGTTTTCCCAAATAAACTTAAATACATAAAAATTGTAATTTGACAAATGTAAATAAGCAATTAAATGTAATATTATTGAAAGCAGGATTTACAATGCTAAAGCACATTTGGTTTTAGTTTGTATTGATAGCGCATTATCAGTATAATAATAAAACTGATTCTGCATTACATGCATTGCTGTATAACCAAATGTAACAACTACACTGAAACGAAAGGGCCTCATGACAACTTACCAGCTCATTAAATTTTGTGTTGACAATGATTTGTGGGTACCTGTTTGGAAAGCTGTTCCTCACACAGTTTATACAGAGTGTAAAACTTGCGGCTGAGGACTTGATTTTCCCGAAAACCTGCGCTGGCGAGTTTCACCCTCATGATGATGGCTCGGTCGGGCACCATCATAGCCACTGTGCGAAACTGAATTTTCAAATTCTCAGGCAGCTCCTGCCGACCAGCATAACCTGGATTCTATGAATAAAAATATATATATATATAATTTAATTTAAATATTGATTACAAATGGCAGTTCATTCCGCTGTGGCGACCCATGATAAAGGAACTAAGATAAATGAAAATGAATGAATGAATAATGATTACAATATGATAACAGTAATATGGATTTTATACAAAGCATAGAACATGACATTTAGGAAAAAAATAATGGAAACAAAGCATGTGCACAATTTACTAATTCATTCCATTGACACATGACAATCCAAATACTTTGAATGAAGCTATACAAGCAAACATACTTTCAGAAATACACATTTAATTTTAAGACCTTGGGCTCTATTTTGACGGTCCATGCGCAGAGCGCAAAATGCAGGGCACAAACGCTTTCAGTGCGCGTCAGGACACGTTTTTGCTAATTTAAGGACGGGAAATCTGCCTTGCGCCAGGAAGCATGGTCTAAAAGGGATGAGTTTATTTTCTATTATAGGTGTTATAGGTGTGTTTTGAGAATAAACCAATTAGAGTCTCATCTCCCATTCCCTTTAAGAGTCAGCTGCGTCGCGCCAAGAGCGCATTCGCTATTTACAGGACGCAAAGTAAGTCTAAGTGGAAAAAATGAGCATTTCACAAGCAAACAGTTGACAGTTTTTTTACAGAAAACTGTTAAACAGAGCATCTACTGCATGAGAATGAGAGATAAATGATCTATTTTCACTTTCGCTCTTGGATAGGGAAACCTTTACGCACAGACATCAATTAGCCTATAAATAATTAATTTCGTTTGTTAAGCGCAAAGATTTGTTTCAAAACTATTTCTAAATTCAGTTCTAATTTCTAGCAAACGAATAAATGAACAATAATGACCAAGTGTGGTCAAAATATTATTTCCAAATACACCTGCCATGCCCCATATGGTCTTAAACCTGACAGGTGGGCAAATCGAAGCTTGTTTTTAATAAAACAAATATAAATATGGATATATTAAATAATACTGCTAATAATAATAACATTATACAAAAGCAAATTGTTATGAATGAACTGAAAAAGCCTCCCGAGATGAAGAAGACATAAAAGCAGTGATTTTTCATATTTATGTAGGCTAGAAAATAATATGTTTTGTAATATTTTAATCCTTTATATTTATATCCTATATCTATTCTTATTATATCCTATATATATCCTTAATATTTAAATTTTTTCATATGTAAAGATATTAGCCAATTGCTCTCTTGTGCGTGTTAAGCAGTGCGTAAGCGAGGCACAACTCTGCGCTGGAGTTTAGACCGGGTTAGTTTTGGTCTAATGAAAAATCTATTATAGTTTCTCAAAATAGCAACGCGTCAGCGGTCCGCCTCAGAACACCTTCCTTTTCAGACCAGAACGCCTATGGGCGCAAAAATGAGCGCTAATGCATTTGCTATTTAAACAGCAAGCGCAACGCCTCAAAACGACTCTTGCGCCAAGCTGAAACTACCAAAAGACTACTGCGCCACGCCATGCGCCACACTGCACCGGGTGTATGATAGGGCCCCTTATTTTAAAAACCAATAGCAATGGAAATAAATGTTTCTTGTACTTTTCACTAATGGCGTGTTCAGACTGCGTGATTTTAGCCCTGATTTTGACTCGCCGACAGGTTTTGAGAAATCACCGACAAATGCCTGTAATCACAGGCAAATCGGTGCACGTGCAAGTGAGTGACAATCACACAGTATGAACTATCAAAGACCCGATCTGAGAGAATCGCCGATGATAATAATTTATAATTTCATGTAAAATGAGTGAAAATAACATTGGAGATTGCCTACAGCCAATAAGAGAGCAGCATTCACTAGTGTATGTATACCTGCAGGCCAGCGGGAGGTTGAGGGAGAAGTTAAAAGTGCTCATTTTCGGTTTATTTGGACCCAAGAAATGGAGGAAAAACTAGTGGAGGATCTATCTTGCAGTGTAAACAAAGCAGCGACAAAACGCTAGCCCAGATAGTCATGCAGTGTGAAAAATTCTGACAAGACTACTTTAAAAATCTGTAGTCTGAACTCGGCATAAGGGGACTTTGTACCTTCTACCAAAAGGAAGCACCTAAAAGATCTATGTAGTGGATGGGAAGAGTCTTTCACAATAATGGAGGCTTTTCTTCTGCAGAAAATAAATCAGTTGGTCTCTCATCATATATATTACTTATTAAATTTACTATTTTATTTTTGCTTTTAACACAGAGAGTTCAACCAGGCAACTATATTAAAAGTAAGGGCAGAATCGATGAATGATTTAGAAACTACAATGTCCATCTCAATATTAAAATTTCTGCTAAGCCTTTTTTTCAAAAACATGTAATTATGCTTAATGTTTAAAATCTTTAATAAAGGTAAATAGAAAGTCAATATCTGTACCAAAATATTGAAAACATTCTACCTGTTTAACCTCCTCCCCATTCATTGACAAAGATTCACAGAGGGTGTGTACTGTACATTGTTATTCCTAAAACAAATTTCATTTTTGGGTTTGTTTTATTTAGTTTTTGTTTTGATTTTGTTTTATTTTAATTGTGTCCATGTGCAATTAAATTCATTTAAAAATGTAACTTAAAAAGTTAGATACTAATATTTATGTAATGTATATTATAATATTACTTTATTTAAATAACACTTGCTTTAACATTCCCCCATTATTTGTTTTTACTATGCAATGCCATCATAATTTCAATCACACAGTACTATTGTGCATTATATTGTAGTATTTTTAACCTATACACAGCAATCATCATTTTAGATATTTGATACATGCTGAGACTTTCTAATTATACTGTAATCCAGCTGTTTTGGCTTCAGCATGTTAAACTTATTCACTGGTGTTTTAAACCACATTCTCTGATTTTAACTGTTAATGTCAGTGCTGAGTTGCAGACAGGAATGATAGCCACTGGTAAAACATATGGCAGAGTAATTGGCAGTTCATTCCTCAGTGGCAACCCATGAAATAGCAGGGACGAAGCCGAAGGAGAGTGAGCAAGTTAGTGTTTTAAGTAAATCATGGCAAGTAGTCTCTTTATAATAATCTTAGCCCTTGTTCTAGGTATATTGGGAATAACTTAAAAACGTAACGAAATTCATGCCTATAATTTTTCTTTTTTTGCATGTCGCATTAGGGGCTCTGTAGTTCTATGATATGAAACAGAGGGGGCTAAATTAGTTTCATTACCATAGTAAGGAAAATGCCAAACTCTTTATCCATATCCACCACATCTCCATCTGTGAATATAAACTGAGATTTTTTGTTCTTCTTGCACTGCAGGACGATGTAGATTTGTTGAGCAGCTACCGAGAGCACAGGCAGTTCAATGCGGTTGAACTCATCAAAACAGCCCCATGCGCCAGACTGGGCTAATCCTGTTTGACAAACATTACAAACATTGAGCATTATCCAAAAAGGTCAAACACTTCAAATATGCACCCATTATCATGATTACCAGGTGCTCTGTTAGGATTATTTTGGAGTTTGAGAAGTTTATTTAGCTGAACTCAACCTTTATAGATGCGGCCCAGTCCACGGAAATCCATCTGGTCAGAGCAATTAAAGACAACTACGTATTTTCCCAGGCAGCGGCCCATGTCTTTGGTGGTTTCAGTTTTTCCTGTGCCTGCAGGACCAGCTGGAGCTCCTCCCATACTCATCCCTAAAGCCTGGGCCAATGTGATGTAACACCTGCTTGGAACCAACCAAAATAAGCATGTGGTTAATTTTCAAAAGTAGACAATGAGTGCAACTCTTTAAGGGTGTGTTCACACTTGTAGTTCAGCTCCCTTGATTTGTTTGTCTGTGTGATGTATTCTGATTTACATCACTAGGTGGTGCCCTGTACTTGTGTATACTGTGAAGCACTATGTACAAAAAGTGTAGAACAAGAGAATCTCCGGATAAGTAATCTGCTATCATAGATATATACACTAGATGTTGCCTGGCCTATTGTTGTGTATTGGACGGAATGCGTCAATAGCGCCGCCATCTTGCTACAGGGTAGCGCTCCTTTGAAATGAATGCGGGACCAAGGTACAGTGGAGGACTGTGGCCATCCAAAGCCAGAGATATACACATATACACATATATCTATGATCGGGAGATTTCCTGGATGTTAGTGTGTAATTTTTTTTATAATTACGAAAATTATAATTTTACATCACTTTTCTACATTGATGGATCAGTGACCGCACTGGCATTCCTGACAAAAAGCTTGTGTTTGTGTGTACAGAAATGTACTATTAACCCTCCCTGTTAAATTTAATATAATCCGTGTCCTGAAACACACCTCCTCTCCTGCTTTCACTTCTCATACTGACGGAGGGAGCGATTCGTTTGTGAATGAATCCCCCAAACGACTCTTTCACTAACGTTAGCCGACAACAATGCAAGTTTCTGGCAGTGCAGCATCTTGTTGTCATATTTCTTTTGCATTGTTGGCTGATTTTATTCAACAAAACTAGCATAAGCCGAGTATTTAGTGCGGGTTGGAGCTGCGTTGCCGTATGGTGAATGCAGTAAGTGACTGTCATCATCAATAACGTTACCTGATTAGCACAAAAGTTCAGAACATTCAAAAACAGAAAAAAACTTAATATTACCTATGAAATGTTCTGCCTTTGTGCTTTGGTTTCTTTGTTTGCTCGTTACTACACCCGTAGACAGCGCTAAAGTCCCGCATCTTCACGTAATAACACTGTCTTGACTAGTGCGGTTGAATGACATTTGTCCTGGGAGCACTGTACCAATGTGGCGGCGCTATTGACGCATGCTGAGGGTCCCTATGCGATATCTAGTGTATATATCTATGGTCTGCTATCCTCTATCCTCTTATCTAAATACGCCAAAACAGCTTTAAGAGTCTACAGAATATAAAACAGTCTGGACAAAAAGGGAAAATGATACATTTGTGAAATAATGTCCGGTTGTGGGTTCTATTTAATTCCGTTTGTTTATGCAGTGTTTACAGAATTGTGCAAAAGTTTTAGGCCCCTAGTTACATTTGTTGTTTTAAAAGTGCAGACATGTTTTAATTCGTCTTGTGATTCCTACTAGAAAGCCCCTAATTTGTAATAGTTTTATTATTTTTTAGCATGACAATGATCCCAAGCACACTGCTAATGTAATGAATTCATATTTGGAGAAAAAAACAGCTGATGAAACAAAGACAGTCTTAAAATGTCCTCCACAGAGTCCAGACCTAAATATTTATCGTATGTATAAGCGATACTATATGCAGTATAAGATTTTGACGCTAGTCTTTTGATTGAAAAAGTAATTTTGCTCTGAATATTGTGTACATATTTCCCATATTTTCTGTTTTTATATTCCAAAATATAGTTCACCCATAGTAATGGAAAATACCTTGTAGACAGATATTATATAGACAGATTATATAGAGAGTACTGTATATTTCAATCAAACCATTTAGTTCAGGGATGTCAAACTCAATTCCTGGAGGGCCGCAGCCCTGCACAGTTTAGTTCCAACCCTAATTAAACATACCTGATCAAACTAATTGAGTCCTTCAACTCAACTCGACTCAACTCACTTTATTTCTATAGCACTTTCACAAATCACAATGGATTACCAAAGTGCTGTACATAAAATCAAATAAAAAAAGCATGTAAAATATACATAAAACCAAAATACATAAACTCATATCACATGATTAAAAGCTAAAGAAAATAAGTGTGTTTTCAGTGACCTCTGAAACGACTCAAAAGTTAGAGCTCTTCTTACAGATAGTGGGAGATCGTTCAGGCTTGTTTGAAACCTACAGATAAAGCTGCGGTCACACTTGACTTTTCTCCCCATAAACTTCCATTCATACGCATGCGAATGCGTCAGACCGGAAATGCAGGGTCATGCGTTAAGTTTCACAGGTTGCTGCGGTGCAACGTTCAAGCTTGGTGAACTCTGAATTGTGAAATCGCATCACTTGACTGCGTGAGACTAATCGAGGATCAAAACATGACCTCTCGACAGAAATTTAAAACACGGAGAAATCGCTCGCTTTTTTAATGTCTAATAATCTTGTTTAATCCCGCCCCTTTTCGCAGCACTGTACGACAGAATTTCGCACGCACAAACTCTAGTGTGACTGCAGCTTAAGTGTGTTGGAACTAAATTGTCCAGGGCTGCGGCCCTCCAGGAATTGAGTTTGACATCCCTGATCTAGATCCACTTATTTGGTTTAGTTTGTTCGGAGCAGACCAAGGCATACTTCACCTTGGTTCGCATGCTTGATAAACCTTAAGGCAATGTTCACAATCATTAAAATGAAATGCACTAATAAAGCAATTTGCCACAGTCATATCACCCTGCAGCTCAAGATCGATTACTCACTGAAGCTAAGTAGGGCTGTGTCTGGTCAGTACCTGGATGGGAGATGACATATGAAAACTATGTTGTATTAGTGAGGCTAGCAGGTGTCGCTCTACATGTGGTCTGAGTGAGTCCTAACACTCCATTAAAAATGAAGGGGACACTGTACTGCCATTGGGCGCTGTCGTTCGGATGAGTCGTTAAACTGAAGCCCTGGCTCTCTGAGGTCATTAAAAATCCCATGGCATTTCTTGTATAAAGGCCATCACACATGAGATGCACCGCGACACGGCACGCACATGACAGTTGATCGCACCCCAGATGCACACATTCGCATGCTATTTAAAATGAAACTAATCAGATGGCGCTCTGTGGCGCGGCAGAAATATGAACCGTGTCCTGAGTTGCCGCTGGGCACCACGGACAGCCTGCCGGATGCTGCACACTCGTGGTGATGTGGTAAGACTCCTCCCCCTCATGATTGTGAAGCGCTTTGGGTGTAAGCCCATACATAATAAACGTGCTTTATAAACACACATTACATTACAAACCGAACCCGACAAATGTGAACACACTCTTAGTATTAATAATGATCCTGGCATCTTTATTGCATCTATACTGGCCTGTCAGTAAGAGGTGTAATCACAAGACGATCAGTGCAGCCCAGATACTCATTACAGTAATCAAACTCCACATCTGTGATTTGGATTATGCATCTGTCTGTGTCATCTATGAAGTAGAAACGAGACTGCTTCTGCCATTCAAAGTCTAATGGTGACCGGATGTTCATTTGTACCTTAAGAGAAAAATTCAAAAGCAATGCAAGCGTTAAAAGTAAAGTAAATCAATATTTAGAGGTGTGTCGAGGGGGCGTGGCCGAGAGCCGTGGAAACGGAATGAGGCCGCGCGTAAGTGGATGCACCTGTTATGCGCACCGGCCTCGAATCCCACGGACTGAGCTCTGGATTATGAGAGGAGGAACGATGGCAGAGGAAGCCAAGAAAGGACCGGGCCCGGGCATATTGTTTTAACTTTTGCTTTCAGTTCTTTTTCAGTTCAGTTATTAATAACAGTGACGGCAGCTCATCACGGAGACTGCCATCAAACTGAAAGCAAAAGTTAAAACTATATGCCCGGGCCAGGTCCTCTCTCGGCTTCCTCTGCCATCGTTCCTCCTCTTATAATCCAGAGCTCCTTCCGTGGGATTCGAGGCTGGTGCGCACCACAGGTGCATCCATTTACACGCGGCCTCATTCTGTTCCCATGGCTCTCGGCCACGCCCCCTCGCCACAAGAGGTTAAAGCCTAGTGCTATTTAAAGAGATAGTTCACCCAAAATTTTTAATTCTGTCATTATTCACTTTTCCAAAACCTGTTTCTTGTTTCTGAAGTCGTTACACAACATTGTTGATGATTTACAATTAATAAACAATAAAGAACCGAAACATTAGTTACCAGGTCATCAAAAATGTCCTTCTGGTGAACGTGTATGGTGATGAGTGTCTCATATTTGGTTCTTTCCATCTTGGTCAGATCATGAGTAGTCATATCAATCAGTTCGTTCAAAAGATCCAGGAATTTCTGGTTAGTTGTCTGCATTATCTGGATCAATAAAAACAATTGTCAACATCATACAAACAATGTTAGGGTACGACTAGGCCCACACAAAATCTGTGCAAGCAAATATCTGCAGATTTTGTAGGCCAACATTGAATCTGTTTATTTATTTATGAAATGTGTGTAAATATTTATTTATTTTATTTTCATATTAATTTTAGAAATATATAAATAATATGCAAAAGTTTATATTTTTTATTTAAAATATAGTTTGTAAAGTAATATATTCTGTCTTTTAAATATATTATTTGAGAGACTTCACAGAAAAAAATGTTTGGTTTCATTCAATTCTTTTGTCGTTTTTCAAACTTCTTGTTGTTCCAACACAAATCAATTAAGTTACCCTAATTGTTTTTACAAATTTAAGCAAATTAAACATATAACAATTAAGTTGTTCCCCGAAACACTGAAGAACTGTGTTGATTCAGCTTATTTTAAATAAGTAGTTTAAGCAAGCAGCAACATTTTATTTTGAGTGTTTGTTTACAAAAACAAGTGAAACTAGTTTCAATTTGCATTGTAAACCTGAAGTAAAAGTTAAAAAGTTGTTATTTTTATTTCACGTTTTTAAGTTTTTAGTTACTATACTGCCAAAATCATTCCCCTTTAGATTTTTTTTTTTTACAAAAATAGCAAACAATGTTCACAGATTCTGTCTGGCTCTGGGTATGACCTCACAAATATATAATACGAATTGAGTTTGAACCTTCTTGTCAGCCTTGCTTTGCTGCAGAGCTTCCTCAGCATCTCTGGTCCAGATAAACTGTATGCCGAGCAGTCCGACCTGAGCAGGGAACATCGACTGGAACTCCACCAGTTTAAAGCCCTGATCACCGATGACCATGGCAGCTTGTCTTATAATGCTATGAAGGGTCTTCTTGACTCCATCAAGTAACATACCCAGCCAGGCTTCAACATTGCCCTGTGGTGAGACATCAGTAACTATCTTCATTAGTATTTTTAGGTATTTTTTCACCATTTTATTTTTTGTCCAAGAATACAATATGTTAATACTATGAATTAAAGTGTATTTCTATGATGGGATTGGGGATTTTTTTAATGATATTTAAGACATTTACTATAAAGTTAACACCAGAAAAACCGTACCTGGGCATTAATTGGTTCACTCATATTCACTGTTTCCCCTTCCTGTGACTGAAAGCTCAGTATCTGGTCATAGTTTTTCTCATGAAACACAACTCTGTTCACATTATCAAAAAGGTTCAAGAGATGAGCCTGGAAGTCATAAAAAACAAGAATTCATTTCTTTTAAAATCAAGTGAATGATAAAATACAATTTCTTATTGATTTACTATGTAAAAAAAAACATTCAGAATCAAAACCTTGCTGTTTAAAAAAAACTACTTTGGAATTTGAGCAACTCGTGTCACTTTCAATATGTCTTGCTGCATTGAAGGACATTTCCAAAAACCAGGTAAAACAAAATCAAATCATAGTAAAACGCAGTGATATATTATAAACGACAATCAACAGATGCACATGAGAAGGATGTGTAAACAAAACGTATTAGGATATAGTGGATTTGGGGGAAAAAAAGCTGCGAGCAGACATCGCCTCAACCGTATTTCACACTTCTATGACATAGTAGTGCTATGATTAGATAAATGCACCTGTATAGTGTGTGAGTCAGATGCTTGACCCAGTATCTCCAACAGGACGGGGTCAGAGACGAAAAAGAACCTCGGGAAGACGAGACGTTTCTTCTCCAGGTATCCGCTCAGAGATTTCTGACACACTTCCAGCTGTTCCAGCAGGTGTGGCAGCAGCTGTTGCAGCGTCTCATCCCCGACACAGCACTGAACCACACCAGGAATCTCATGTGCCCGCTGCATTATCCTCTGCCATGATTTGTCAATGTTCTGGAAGCGTTTAGCCTCCTGCAAAGAGTAAAAAATTCAAGAAGTGTTAACTATACAGTATATATACACTCACCGGCCACTTTATTAGGTATACCTTACTAGTACCGGGTTCGGCCCCCTTTTGCCTTCAGAACTGTCTTAATCCTTCGTGGAATAGATTCAACAAGGTACTGGAAATATTCCTCAGAGACTTTGGTCTATCACACAGTTACTGCACATCCATGATGCCAATCTCCCGTTCCACCACATCCCAAAGGTGCTCTATTGGATGGAGGTCTGGTGAATGTGGAGTTGGTACTAATGGGCTTAAAGTGTGCCAAGAAAATATACCCCACACCATTACACTATTACCACCAGCCTGAATCATTTATACGAGGCAGGATGGATCCATGTTTTCATGTTGTTGATGCTAAATTCTGACCCTACCATCCGTATGTCCTAGCAGAAATCGAGAATCATAAGATCAGGCAACGTTTTTCCAATCTTCTATTGTCCAATTTTGGTGAGGCTGTGCGAATTGTAGCCTCAGTTTTCTGTTCTTAGCTGACAGGAGTGGCACTCGATGTTGTCTTCTGCTGCTGTAGCCCATATATATAATTTTTTTCTTTGGGATAGGACTGTGGAATTTAATTGTGTATATATCGAATGGACAAAATAAAAACTATATAGTTTCATAATATGCTTTGTCATCCCAAAATACATTGTTTATGGTGATACTTTTTCATAATTTATATGAGCACAATTTTACACGCCATTATGGTGATGCAGACAGAACCATGAAAAACAACATTGTCAGAAAGTTACAATTTTTAAATGACATTTTTTTTAATTTTGCATTTTATTTAGCTATATATATGTATTTTTTGTTTGATCTGTAATCATTAGATTTTGAAAAGTGTTTTATATTTTATTCATATTTATTTTACATTTCTACATTTTAAATCGAATGTTTACCCTGAAGTTCTTAATACAGTTATAAATATGATCACACATGAATGAGTAAATTTCTGAGTACATAATTTAGAATATAAAAAATATAGTCCTTTACATGTGGTCTATATATATATATATATATATATATATATATATATATATATATATATAAACTATTAAATAATTGAATTTACATAAATGGTACTGTGATATTGTGTTGTTCTGTATATTATAATCAGGTTGTGAAATGCAATAACACATTTGTGGTATTTGTGCTACCTGTGGCAGTTGTTTGGCAATGTCTCCACCCACAAACACAGCCTCCAGGTACAGCCACAGATTTTGTACTGTGAGCCACTTCTCGATCACCTCTGAACTGTTTGACAACTTCTGCACCCACTGCTGGATAGTGGGCTTAAATGGAGCATTATATCTGAAACAAGAATGTTCTTTTTTTATGAGCATAAATGAATGATTATCATGAACATTTACAATAATTCCCAGAAAACATAGTAACACTTCACATTAAGGTTGTATTAAAGGTGCTGTATGTACATTTTTGACTCTTCTAAAGCATACAAATACCCTAATATGTTTGCAGATATTTACGAAACATGCTAAGTAAACAGTCTTGTTTATCTTAAAAACAATGCTGAAGTCAAATATTCTGCTTTGTAAATGGGAGTTTTGCTGGAACGCTGTCTTTGGTTTGGTTATTTTAACCCTCCCACTGCCAATTTAGCCAATTATATTTCAGCACCCTGGCTTGCTTTGATGGAAAACAGCATATTTCTCTTTCTTTCTTTCTTTCTTTCTTTCTTTCTTTCTTTCTTTCTTTCTTTCTTTCTTTCTTTTTTCTTTCTGAAAGGTTCTCAAAGCATGCTCTTGTGACTGAAATGCGACCTCCAGTGGGCAGTAGCAGACTCCACTCACACACACATGTGCCTCATTCTAACTGATTACATACGCACCACCCGAGGATTGTCAAGAACTGACTACACACACTACTCAAGCAGCACACACACTCACTCCAGTTGCAGAGTCTTGTTTACTGTAAGAGACATTACAACGCATTTTCCTTGTCTTGTTTTGTTCCGCCTGCCTTATGACCTTACGCCTGTTATTGTACTACGATTCTGGATTGCCTTCACACATCTGTTTGCACCCAGGTTGACCATTGCTTGCCTGACTGCCTCAATAAACCTGCATGTGAATCCGAACTCTGTTGTAAGTGTCATACCCCTGGTTACAACTACGTGACGAGATTTGCAGTAATAAGCAATTTGGCTGTTTGCACCAGACGAAACACAACAAAATTTTAAATAAATCTATTCAGAAGCATACAATATGCAATCACTCATGAAATGGTAAGGTTTATAATCCAATGAATACATATCAAACCTGTTTATTGTTATTTTTATTAATAAAAATACAACAAATCTCTTATTCTTTTATTGATTTTATTAAAGGTGCAGTAGGTGTTCTTTCACAATGCTAACAGCTTAGCATAAATCTCTGAATCACAGTCCCTCCCCTGCCATCTAGAGCCACGCCTCCTTTACGAGCACAGCAAAAGAACCCTCTCTCATGTGTTAAAAGCGACTAGTGCTTTTCCGGTGGCGTACAAGCCAAACTGACATGCTATTTCATAGCAAATATTTAGAGTTGCATGGTAAACAATATAGGGAGAGACTAGGCGGAATAGCGCTATTTACTTGTGTTTTGTTGTTAAACTAATTAAAATCTACAATATCGATGCTGTGAAAGTTCCCTTATGAAACTGAAAATATTATCAATCTTTCATCGGAAGATTTTAGTGGCTGAACAACACTTCTGTGAAGATATAACCCATTTGTAACAACATCATCTAACGTTACATCAGCTTTGCATGAAGCTAAAATAGTTTTAAACAAAACATTACCTGTCTAAGAGAAATCCTTCAGCCATTGTTTCATCCTTTCTCCAGCGTGCAAAGGTAACTCCAATATTGATTCAGGTTTTTAAAAAGTTTTGATTCAGAAGGTTTTTATTGATCTTGTGCGCGCGCGCCCTCTCTCGTGAACGCGCAGCACAGCGGTCGGCGGAGATGCATACAAACGGCTGCGCAGTTGTTCAAATCTGCATTTGCTGACAGACAGTTTCGCCTACTTATCGGAATTATGAGAGATGTCAATCCGACTCTATTTAACTGGATGAACATTTTTTAGTTTTATGCCTTACCCAAAAAATAAAAGTACATATAAAAACATTATGATCATTTACTTTAATCATTACTATTAGACTGTGAAGAGGCTTTTAATCAGCACAACAAAAAATGCTTCTGAAGACAATCACCTACTGCTCCTTTAAGTACAGGTCAGAATAAATATGGTTCATTTTAAATAAAGATATGTGCTATGTTAAGTAAAGTTGGAATATCACTGAAAAACATTGGATCAACTTAGAAGAAAATATTTTTTATTAATTAATTTATTTTTAACAGTTTTTAGTAATAAAATAAGTTGAATTTTAAAAATATATATATTTGTTTATGTATGACAAATTAAATTAATTTGTTTTCACTTTTTCAGTGTATCAAGTTTTCACTTTTTTTCCAGTGTTTTCCAGTTTTAATCTCACCAAAGGGATTTAAAACGATAAAGTAGATACTTATCAACCTATATAAAAAAAACCTTTTAAAAGAACTCACTTGATACAGACACCAAAAGGTGACATCTGTGTGAATGTGACTATTTAATTAAATACCTGTTACTCATTAAAGACCCAAGCACCATGAGACTGTCCTCCATTAATGCCACCTTCTCTGAAGTATCGGATCCTTTCAGCAGCAGCTCTCCACGATTCCTGAAATGATTTTATATAGATTTTTAAAACTGAACAGATTTAATGACAAATATTAAGTTGAGTTATTTACAAACGACATCTAACCTGAATGTTGCAAATGTGAACTGATGGCCGCTCCATTCAGTTACAACATCTTTGAGTTTGGCTTCAATGTCTCGCTCCTTAACGGCACTGATACACACATCCTAGCAGCCAGAAGTGTTTTTTATAATTTATTAGGATGCGTTAAGGATATTTTAAAATAAGGATATTTTTTTTATTGGTACATAGACATGAACATTTTGTCAGCACAATACCTCAATGTCTTCTTTGCACTTTAGCAAAGGTGCTTCCATAACATTTCGAAGGCTAAAATTTGGAGCTTCCACTTCAAACTTGTGCTTGGTAAGATCAGTTATCCGCTCCCAATGTCGGGCCATCATTGCCTAGTCATGAATGAGCTTGTTAATAAAAGATTGTTGTGTATGAATGCAGTATGCTGCCAAGGAACTTATGCTTGCTTGACATCACCTTATTTGCCATCATGTATAGTAGAGGACAGGTTTCGTTGAAGTCATCGATAGTCTTTTTCAGGTCATTAAAAGCTTGCCATTCTTTCAGAGCTGCAGGAAGCTTGCGGATCCTTAAAAAGAATGACAGAATTAGCTCCCAGATTCCCATATAGTATTTGATCCATTTTAAAGGTCCCATAAAAATTAAAAGAAAGTTTTTTAAATGTTAATATTAATATTGGTAATTTTCTATATATTTATTAGCTAGTGTGTTCCAAAACATTGACAAAATTCACCTTTAGAAGATATAAAACTGACATGAACATGTAAAGCTTGTAGTTTGTGACTTTTGCATGAATTGATCAATGTTTTTAATCACGCTAACCTATCCTACAATTTCTCATCACATCATAACCAATCAAATGCTCCCTAGTATCTGACATGCCAAGCTTTCAAGACGCTTCTCGTTTGCTTTTCAATTGATGTACTTGAGCTCAACCACTTAAAACGCTATTGGCTGTTTTTTTTTAAAAAGAGGAGGAGCTAACCTATGTCTCACCCTCTCTTCGTGTTTCGGTCAAGATTACATCAAACATTAAATATAAATGCGCATTTTAAATTGATTCACGAGACCTTTAAGTATGTGACTATCATAAGAAACCTGTTCTGGAAATCCAGCAGCTCATTGTTGATCTTCTCTATATTGAGGTCGGCCCATAGTATGTCATAGTAGCCTGAAACGCTGTCAATGACAGAATTGTAAAGACTGTAGAGCTTGGAGAGGAGGTTGAGCTCTCGTTTGATTCTGTGAAGATCAGGATATTCTGAAAAAACAAAAGAAAAATATGAGAGAATAAACAAGAACAGATATAGTCTAAAGAATAGGGAACAGAGACGTGTGTCTGGAACAGACAATGGTTGTCTAGCGATCTTCAATCGTCTGTTCCAGACACCCATTGTAGTTCCAATGAAGGGGAACCTCATAAGTCAGTAGAGTACTGCTTCTTTGGTAAAAATAATCATAAAAAAAACTATTGAAAATTCTGTTTGTCTGGATTTTTTTATGGTAAATATATTTTGGTTTTATTCTGTAAACTACTGATGAAATTTCTAACTAATTTAAAACAAAATTTTAAAACGATTTTTTTTCATAACAAAGTTTTTAGACATGATTTTTTTGGCAACTGTAAACCAATATTTTAACTTAAACACTGTTAAGAGATAAGAAACCAATATATTTGTTATTCTGTCATTTTGCAGGATAAAAATGCTCTAAATTACAATATTTTAATTTGAAAGTTTGAAGAAACGTTATCTTTATTGAATAAAACAAATACTAACATTTTACTCAAACCCATACCTATGCAATACTTCTATTAAATCCAGAAAAATAAATGAAAATAGTTCTTTAATTTGTTTACATATCTGTGTGCATATTTGTGAGGTATTTATTCTGTTTAGTGGATTGTATTGCTCTATACTATCCCTTAAAATGAACCATTCAAACAACAAAACAAACTTTACTATAAAACGTTGATGTCTAACCCTACTTTCATTCAAGCCAAAGTAAACCTAATGTCTACCCTGCCCTTGCTGAAACCCATATTAACAAAGAAAAAACACACAAGCACCTCCAACAGGCAGACCAAACAGTTCTTCGCCACTGGAAAAGGTGACATATTTCCTCCACAGTTCATCAAACTTGGCCTGATAAACTTGTAACCTGTCACTGGCTTCACGTGGCGGCAAACCTGTAACTCCGGGACCACTAAACACACACATGGAGGCTTTATTTAGATACTTCAACCACAAACAAAGGTATTACAGATTACATGTAGAGAACATGCTAATTTAAAATTACCTGTTGTCATAGTCTCCATAGAAACTTTCTACAGACTTCTGGAAGACCTCAACCCCAGCTATAAGCTCAGCCTTCATGTGAGGTTCAACGTCTGAAAGTTTTTTCTGAGTTTCTTTAGCCTTGAAATTTAAATAAAAAATTTGATAAATCATTGTGCATTTGGCAAATGCTAAACAAAGTAAACCCAGCGATATTCCATTCAACTCAAGTTTATTTGCATAGCACTTTTCACAATAATAAAGGTTTCAAAGCAGCTTCACAAAAGGAGCACATCATTGCATTACAATCAAATTTGGAAAAGTTCAGGTTATTAGTTATGATAACTTTATTATTTACTAAAAAATTGAACTAATTAAATTGCTTTTAACAGTTATTATATATAAACATAGTTAACCCGCATGAATGACTTAAACAGTGCTCTTTTCTAATCTCCCGGTAGGGTCAGCGGTAAAGTTTTTTACCTGTGTTGTGATTGCCAGCAGCGTTTACTCCACTGGAGATTATTTGCAGTATTCTTACCAAACTACAACTCCCAGAACTCTTTGCACTCATCAAACCCCTGCCACAGCTGACAATAATCCAGACACTCACACACAGACACAGCTGTAGCTGTAGCTCATCTACACTGATTACATGGACTGTATATACCACTTATTTTCACTAAAACTTCTTTTTCTGTTACGATTGACGCTGGACAACAGACATGGGGATCCATGTGCAGTTTATTAACAAGAGAGTTGTGCAGGCAATGGTTACAAACAGGAACAAACAGCAGTATAAAAGTAGTCCAAAAAGCAAGGTCAAAAATAGGCGAAAGGTCGAAAACACCAAAAGACTAGACAAGGAACAAAAAAACGCTTTGTAATGTTAGCTAGTAAACAAGACTCGGCCAAGTCTTATGCTGTATTCACACCAGAAGCGGAACGTGCAAATAAATTGCGATATTCGCGTGTAAATAGATGCGTGAACATTTTGAGTTTACTCGCTTCATTCAATTCATTCAAATCAGCTTCATCTGCACATCACATCCACTTCACAACAGACACAGATTCAAATCATGGGCAGGACATCTGTCTGTCTTGTGACTCTAGCTTTGTTGCTAAACAGTTAACATGGATTTTATTGAGAGAATAACTGTGTTTATGTGCTTTATGAAGGCTGAAAAACACCGTTGATACGTTTGGGGCTGTGTCTGAGTCCACTAGATTCTTTTGAAAGTGCACCCAGCTCTGAGAGTTCATAAACTCCTCCAGAAACTGTACCTGGATGATGGAGGCCTTCAGCGGTGCTTCCGACTGAGCCGAGCTAAGTTTGATCAACTGTTGTCGGTGTCAGCAGGAGGATTTCCCCCTGGGACCCCAACAATGGGCGCTACATCATAATCACACCCCTACAAGAGAAAGCTACTGATTGGTTAATGTATCAATCACGCAAAACGCTCAACTTACGCCACGTCATTTGCAATTTGCGTATTGCGCCGCAGGATGTCTATTCGCGCCTTTGCATTGACTTGAGCAATTTATGCTTCTTCCGCATCTGTTGTGAACGCAGCACTAGTAAACGGGAGTGGTACATTTACATTTACATTTACATTTAGTCATTTAGCAGACGCTTTTATCCAAAGCGACTTACAAATGAGGACAAGGAAGCAATTTACACAACTAAGAGCAACAATGAATAAGTACTAAAGGCAAGTTTCAGGTCTGTAAAGTCTAAGAAGGGAAGTGTTAGTAGTTTTTTTTTTTTTTTTTTTTTTTTTTTTTTTTTTGTACAATTAGTGTGATATTCAAAGAGGCAATTGCAGCTTAGGAAGTGAAGTGGAGACTAAATAGTTGAGTTTTTAGTCGTTTCTTGAAAATAGCGAGTGACTCTGCTGTTCTGATGCAGTTAGGGAGTTCATTCCACCAACTGGGCAGATTGAGCGTGAGCGTTCGCGAAAGTGATTTTTTCCCTCTTTGGGATGGAACCACGAGGCGACGTTCATTCACAGAACGCAAGTTTCTGGAGGGCACATAGATCTGCAGAAGTGAGTGCAGATAAGAAGGTGCTAGGCCAGAAGTCACTTTGTAGGCAAACATCAGAGTTTTGAATTTGATGCGAGCAGCAACTGGCAGCCAGTGCAAACGGACTAGCAGCGGAGTGACATGTGCTCGTTTAGGTTCATTGAAGACAACTCGTGCTGCTGCATTCTGGAGCAGTTGAAGAGGCTTGATAGAGTTAGCTGGAAGCCCAGCTAGTAGAGAGTTGCAGTAATCCAGTTTGGAGAGAACAAGAGCTTGAACAAGGAGTTGAGCTGCATGTTCAGATAAGAAGGGTCGGATCTTTCTGATGTTATAGAGTGCAAATCTGCACGATCGAGCAGTTCTAGAAATGTGGTCAGAGAAGTTTAGTTGGTCATCAATCGTTACTCCAAGGCTTTTCACCATTTTGGATGTAGTAATGGTTGCCCCATCCATCTGGATTGAAAAGTTATGGTGTAGAGTCGGGTTGGCAGAAACTACAAGCATTTCCGTTTTTGCGAGGTTCAGCTGAAGATGATGATCTTTCATCCAGTGTGAAATATCCAACAGGCAGGCTGAGATACGAGCTGGAACCGAGGGATCATCAGGATGAAAAGAGAGGTATAGCTGGGTGTCATCAGCATAGCAGTGGTAGGAGAATCCATGTCTCTGGATGACTGGTCCTAGAGATGATGTGTAGATGGAGAAGAGAAGTGGCCCAAGAACAGAGCCTTGAGGTACCCCAGTGTTTAGATGCTGTAGGTTGGACACCTCTCCCCTCCAAGACACCCTGAATGACCTGTCAGAGAGGTAAGATCTAAACCATTGTATAACAGTGCCCGCAACGCCCAGTGACTCAAGCGTAGATAGCAGGATCTGGTGGTTGACAGTGTCAAAAGCAGCTGACAAGTCCAGCAAAATGAGGACTGATGATTTAGAGTCTGCTTTAGCCAGTCTGAGATCCTCCACGACCGAGAGCAGGGCAGTCTCAGTTGAGTGGCCTTTCTTAAAGCCGGATTGCTTGTTGTCCATGAGATTGTTTTGAGTAAGAAAGTCCAGGACTTGATTGAACACTACTTTCTCCAGAATCTTGGCCATGAATGGAAGCAGGGATACTGGTCTGTAGTTTTCAAGTAGCGTATGGTCCAGGTTGGGTTTCTTTAGCAGTGGGGTTACCCTAGCCTGCTTAAATGTAGTGGGGAATAAACCAGAGTCAAGAGATGTGTTAATTATGTGAGTCAGTGTTGGTATGACTGCAGGAGAGATGGCTTGCAAGAGATGAGAGGGAATGGGATCGAGTGGACAAGTGGTTGCATGGCTAGATAGCACAAGTTTGGACACCTCAGACTCAGAGAGCTGAGAAAAAGAGGTGAGTGTGTGTGGTGTTGGTGTTGTATCTTGCGTGTTTGTTGTAGGTGCAGCAAATTGAGCACTGATTTTTGCAGTTTTGGTGCAGAAGAATGTAGCAAAGTCATCAGTAGTAAGTGTGGAGGATGCGGGTGGAGGAGGAGGATAGAGGAGGGAGGAAAATGTTTTAAAAAGTAGGCGAGGATTAGTGGCATTGTTGATTTTTAGACGGTAATACGTCTGCTTTGCAGAAGTAACCTCAGCTGAGAAAGAGGACAGAAGAGTTTGGTATGTTAAGAGATGTGCAGGATTTTTAGTTTTCCGCCAAATTCTCTCTGCAGCCCGAAGTTTTGAGCGATGCTCACGGAGAGCATCCGAGAGCCAGGGTGCAGGAGGACTGGCACGGGCTGGCCTGGATGCAAGAGGACATAATCGGTCTAGACATGATGCTAGTGTGGAGCAGAGTGTATTAGTGGCACTGTTCGAATCAAGTGCAGTGAGTTTGCGAGATGGAGGAAGAGAGTCTGAAACAATGGTGGATAGTCTATTGGGTGAGAGAGATCGTAGGTTTCTGCGAAAGGTAACCAGTGTTGGAGTGTGTGGCGGCTCAGGAGTAATGTGGATGTTGAGAGACAGAAGGAAATGATCAGATATTTGTAGTGGAGTTACTATTGTTTGATCAGTGAAGCAGTGTCGTGTGTAAATAAGGTCTAGCTGATTACCTGATTTGTGGGTAGCAGAAGTAGGTGCTCTTTTTAGGTCAAAAGAGGCAAGCAGAGTCTGAAAGTCTGCAGCTTGCGGTTTGTCAACGTAAATGTTGAAGTCACCTAGCACCAATAAGGGAGTGGCAAAATTAGAAAAAGATGAGAGAAGAACATCCAGTTCATCTAGGAAGTGACCTAATTTACCTGGTGGGCGGTAGATGACAACCACATTTATGTAGAAGGGGTGGATAATGGTGACTGCATGGAATTCAAAGGAGCTGATTGTTGGCAGGGACGGTATCAGAGTAAATTTCCATTCTTTGGAAATTAGTAGTCCAGTCCCACCCCCTCTCCCTGTCTGACGAGGAGTGTGGGAAAAAGAGAAATTAGCAGAAAGAGTAGCATGTGTAGCAGTGTCCTCCGGCCTCAACCAGGTCTCAGTTAGAGCCATGAGATTATAGTCAGAATATGTAGCTATGGAGGTAATAAAATCAGCCTTGTTAACAGCTGATTGACAATTCCAGAGGCCCACGGAGAGAGAGAGTTGTGAAATAGTAGATACATGTATTGAACGAAGGTTGTGAGGATTACGCCTGCAGCGCACCTCCCGTGTTTTGCGAGTGTTAGTAACAACAGGAATTAGAAAACACATAATAAAAGTGCACTGACAACAAAAAAAATAAGTGTGAAGTAAAACAATACAGTAAAGTACTCAAGTGCTTTGTCGGTGTCTTTGCTCGGTGGAGTCGCGCAGGTAGAGTCGATGGTCTTTACCCTCGTCGGTCTTCACACGAGGCGGTCTTCACACGAGGCTGCCGCGACCGCTGCCGCGGTGAACTAGTTGTTTATATAACCCCAAAGCACTAGCTGATTGAATTCAGCTGGACACGCCTCGAGAGTCAAAACAAGGGCCGAAACTGAGGCGGACGACGCGAACCGCGTCTGCGTTCGCTACACAAGCTCTTATAGTAACCAAGGAAACAGTGGCTAAACAACTTCTAGTATTATACACAACTGAAAGCAAGTTTAAATGTCCTACAACTTTACACAAACAGCTGGAAACAAGTCCTCAAACCATACACAACAACTGAAACAAATCTTAAATGTACTTACAGGCTGCTGTTCTAGATGCTGCTAAAGTGCTTCTCCTGCCGACTAATGCTACCGTGCTCACTATATAGTGGTTACCTGGCGTTTGGACACGCCTCCCGAGTCAAAACAAGGGCCGAAACTGAGGCGGACGACGCGAACCGCGTCTGCGTTCGCTACACAAGCTCTTATAGTAACCAAGGAAACAAGGTTACAGTGGTTACAGTTATAGTAACCAAGGAAACAGTGGTACATATAGTCCACAGGTGTCAAATCCAGTTCCTGGCACAGCTGACAATAATCCAGACACTCACACGCTTGGCACAGTTTAGTTTCAACCCTAATTAAAAACCTGATTAAACTAATTGAGTCCTTCAGGCTTGTTTGAAACCTACAGGTAAGCATGTTGAAGCAGGGTTGGAACTAAACTGTTCAGAGCTGCAGCCCTCCAGGAACTGGATTTAACACCTGTGATATAGTCCATGTAATCAGTGGAGATGAGCTACAGCTGTGTCTGTGTGTGTCTGGATTATTGTCAACTGTGACAGGGGTTGATGAGTGCAAAGAGTTCTGGGAGTTGGAGTTTGGTAAGAATAGCGAAAGTAATCTCCAGTGGAGAAAACACCCCTGTTGATCACAACAACTTGCCCCATTCAAAAACTAAATAAATACATAATAATAATAATAATAATAATAAATAATTTTTTTAGCCACATTTTAAATAATGTGCCAAAACAAGCATTTTTTTCAACAAAGATTTTATTTTTTTTTAAATGACAAGCTTTAAAATATATAACAAATGTGTAAATAAATTTTCATCGACATAAAAAAAATTAAGACACATTTAACATGATTTAAGACCTAAAAAGAAATTCTTTCAGTGAAGGCCTTAAACTTTTTTATTTGAAATTGAAGACATTTTAAGACCTTTAAGACTCCTTGATACTCTATGATTCTCTTAAAAAAAATAAAATAAAAGCTAATATTCAAAGTCTGTGTGAACTGGAAATTGCTGAGACTTATTTTAGTATGCTAATGTACTTCCAGTTGAAACAGAATATTGAGTAGGGTAAAGGCTTTCTTTGTGCACATCATTCCCTCATAGCAAACTAACAGTAAGATAGCCGTTGTTGAGAATACTTCAGCTCAAGCCATTAAACTGACATCATAAGAGAAAGACCGGTTAAATTAAATTAGAATAAATTTTGCCAAAACAAACATTATTTAGTGTATTAATTGTTCCTCTGATTAATTGTTAGCATAACAATGTGCGCTAGCTAAATAAACATTGTAAATTTTGCATTCACACAGACATTAAAACACATCCCTCACCATCACTTTAAGTTCCTTCCAAGCGTACACAACCCCATCAATCCTTTCTGCGTTTCCGTCATTGAAGAACAGATCGTGGCGATTCAGCAGGGCGAACGACTCCTCCACCGGCCCCATGATGGTTTCTATTCGTATCTCCTCTTCTCGTAACTCACGCAGGGCGCCCATGGATTCCCTCACGTCATCCAGGTCAGAGATGGGCCTCTGTAGCTGCCTGTTCACCCCATCCACAAACGAACTAATCTCAGTCATACCCGCTGAGGCCTGCTGATTTAGAGCCGCCCCGAATTCACGTTTCCAGGTGTGACACTCTTGAATGAGGGACATTTTGAGGGACTCGGTTTCGAAGAGGATTGGGCCCACAGTGCATGTCTGAGGAAGCTCATGAATTTGGGTCTCATAAGCCTGGATAAGAGAAAGTCAGAATCACACAAGAGACAGTTCTCCAAAAATGTTAATTTTGTTTCCCTTGATATAAACCTTCATGAGTTTTTTTCTTCTGTTAAACACAAAAGAATGAATTGAAAATGATGAAAACCATTAACCTTCATAATATTTGTTTTTAATACTATGGAAGTCAATGGGCACAGGTTTTCAGCATTCTTTAAAATATCTTTTTTGTGTTCAATGCAAGACAGAAACTCAAAGGTTTGGAACCACTTGAGAGTGAATAAATAGTGAGTACATTTACATAAAAAATGTTGGGTGAACTATTTAACCCTTCACGCATACAATCACACAGGTGTGATCGACATTGGACTGAAGCGTACAATCACACCGATGTGATTAGAATGCTCAAAGCGCAAGTCATCAACTGCTAAAATTCAAATCTGACGACGTGAGCTGAGGCACAGAAAGAGGTGTGGAGAACGTCATAAATCACTTTTTCTCAAATTTTTAAACTCAAATACAGCTGGGGATACTTACATCAATGTGGCATAATTTTTATGACACTATACAACAAATAATATTTTTTTTGAGTTTAGGGCTGAGGTAGCGGTAGACGGCAATAACTAAATGCGTAATTTAATAAATAATATAAATACTTCTTGTTAACTTCCGATCGTAGCTGTATCCCTTGCTGTATCCTGTACCCTAGCTACAACGACAGCACTCATTACCCATCATATACAAAAAATAATATGATCATTATTAAACTGTTTAAAAAAAACAAAATATATGTTTCACAATATAATTAGTACATTTGTCAATATTTACAGAAAAGGGCAAAAAGAAACGCTAAAAAAACAAAAACACTATATATATATATATATACAGTTGAAGTCAGAATTATTAGCCCCCCTGAATTATAAGCACCCCTGTTTATTTTTTTCCCAAATTTCTGTTTAATGGAGGGAAGATTGTTTCAGCACATTTCTAAGCATAAAAGTTTTAAAAACTTATTTCTAATAACTGATTTATTTTATCTTTGTCATAATGACAGTAAATAATATTTTACTTGATATTTTTCAAGACACTTCTATACAGCTTAAAATGACATTTAAAGGCTTAACTTGGTTAATTAGGTTAACTAGGCAGGTCAGGGTAATTAGGCAAAGTATTGTATAATAATGGTTTGCTCTGTAAATTATTGAAAAAAAAATAGCTTAAAGGGGCTAATAATTTTGTCCCAAAAATGGCTTTTAAAAAATTAATAACTGCTTTTATTCTAGCCGAACTAAAACAAATAAGACTTTCTCCAGAAGAAAAAATATTATTAGACATACCGTGAAAATTTCATTGCTCTGTTAAAAATAATTTGGGAAATATTTAAAAAAGAAAATAAAAATCAAAAGGGGGCTAATAATTCTGACTTCAACTGTATATATATATAGATCTTTAGGTGGGTCATGTGATAAACTTGAAGCCTCTCCTCTGGATTTTAATGGATTTCAGGTAACGGTCACAAAAAAAACTCAGGCAGGTGGGTCAGCTGGAGTATTTAAAACTCACGCATGAAAGGGTTAAACCATAGGTGTTTGCAAAATTTGTTAAGCCTTGTTTAACAATTACGTACGGAATATAGAGATAGCTGGGTACTGAAATCTGCCAAAATTGGGTTGGTCTGCAAAAAAGCCTTCACCTGCTCTGCAGGGTCCTGGATAAAAGAAAAGCATAAGATGTCACACATGTTAATATCCTGATGCTACAACTTCATTTTATTTTCATGTCTAAAACATGTGTCCGTTTACTTTTAAGGTTTTATCACAAGCACTTATAAACTTTTAAATGCTAAAAATAAATGATTTGTGAATTTGCAGAAACATAGTAACAAAAAAAGAAAGCAGAAAGTATTTTTTGTGCATATAGTAATTTTTCTGACATGCGCCACGGTGAAAATGAAAGGATGACTATGACTATAGATCCTGTCACACAGTCCTACCGGTAAATATTCTTAAAATTACCGGAACAGTTTTATGAGTAAATTTTTCAAAAGTGCTGTTGACACAGGCAAGGACATTCCGAATGTTCCGAAAAAACATTCACACATCCATTTCAAAATACCGATAAATTCTGACATCATTAACCAGAAATGAGCTATGAACGGCCGCACTTGTATTTGTAAACATAAAGGGAGTTACACGGTTGATGGTTTCACTAATATTTAAAACTTTAGCATTCATGTAGCTGCTTTTGTCCAAGAGACAGACCACATAACTATAGAAAAAAAAAAACATCCAAAGGCAGAGGCGCTAATCTAAGCTAGGTTTTATTTTCTAAGGTAGAAACAGCTTTGTTTACACATTTGACTACATTACAAATGCTGATGATATGAAGGAACACTTTCCCATGTCAAAATGTACATTTAAGTGTGTGCTGCGTTTTTAAAACGAAAGTCTACCGATGTTATAAGCTACTAAAATCTGACTCACAGGAGCAAATCACGCAACTGAACGCAAACGTTGCAGCTAAACTCACATCGATTTATCACAAGCATTTTATCGATCCTTATTTCCACAGTTAACACTAAGAAGGTACATAGAAGCGTAATCGGACTAACAGGCAGCAGCTAAAATGGTCTGGAAAAGTATTCAAAGGCGTTTACTTTCATAAACAGCGCAGATGTTAATGCGAGTGTTCTGATTGGCTGGAGTAGACGTCTCTCGTAAACGCGTATTAAATGTGAAAGTGCTCTTTACTGGCAATTTTCCTTCTCCGTGCACACAGAGCAGCATTCTGGGAAATTACTGGTAATGTTACATCTACTCTTTCCAGAAAAAGGTGGAACAAGTTTACTGGTATTTTTCAAAAAGGGCCCTGTTCACACATGACCCTTTTCTGCAAACCTGTTGGCAATGTTGCAGAAAAGTCTGTATGTGTGAAAAATGATTAATTAATGGAGCATGTTAGAGATATCTGTAAATGAAGACAGATGTGTAACTTTTTAGAGCCTACAAAAACATTGTCATTGACTTGTATTATATAATTCACCAACTGTATCATATGTGCAACCACTGTATCAACAATCTTGGCACTGGAGCGCATGACATCGGGAACTTTTTTATATGGAGATTTTTATTAACTGCAGGCGTCAAAAACACCAAGCACAGCAGGTGGTTAGAACATGAGTTGCCTGGGTGTCTCTCACTGCAAGAAATGTGTATGGTGTGATCGTTTACATCGACTATATGGATTTATAGGGTTGTTGTTTTTTTAAGTACCTGGTTCCACAAGGCTGAAAACTGAGACAAATCTTCCAGGATGTCCCCAGCATCTGCTTTCAGGGAGGACACCAAAGGGACAAGCTGGGAGAGAGACTTATTCACATCCTTATGCTCTGTCACATGTCTGTCCAGAGACCTCAGCAGGATTGGTTTAGAGACCACCGTTTCATCTCCATGCTCTCGTGCTGCTACCTGCTCTGCCTGTGAAGTCACAACACTTCTACTGTCAACTAATGTCAACTAAACACTAACAAGTTTATAAATCATTTGTGGCAGCCCATTAATTACCACATGATAATTTTGATTATTTTTGATGATATTTTGACCCTCATGGTATAGAAACAAGAACAAATTTAATGTACAGTAATTTACCTTGCAAGTAAAAATAGTAGTCTGAGGAAATGTGCAGTATTGATAAGCTTAATATATTTGGATTCTTTAAATCTGTTACCTGCAATTGATCTTGTTGTAAATGGAAATAGTTCCAAAGTGGAATGTCCTTTGCCATAGAAAGCACCATGTTTACACCTTTATTGAGTATGCCCTGCACAAAAACAAATAAGCTTTAGGAATTGTAAATCTCATGAAATTGAAAAGCAAAATAAACCACATATTATTCTCATATTATCAATCTGTGTCTCTGTTTATGCATAGAACAACTACTAATACTGCCCAAAAGTTCAATTTTTTTTTAAATAAGCCTTGTAAGCTCACAGAGACCTGTATATATTTGATCAAATATAAATTACAAAGTTAAATTTTTTACATTTTGTCTCCTGTCGTCAGCTTCATGATCTTTAAGAGTTATTTGTGGAAACTATGATACTTTTTTTAATGAATAGAAAGTTTATCAAACAACTAATAAGAAAATTAATGGTAAAATAACTGCATATATTTAAATCAGAAATGCTTTGTAAAATATACTGTCAAGCCTGAGGGTGCTTTCACACATGTGAATTGATTCAGTTGTTCCGAAACAGAGATTACAATTGTTACATTGTTGCTCTTTGCTCTTGGAGCGGTTCGCTTTCACGTTGCAAAGTTTCTAATCGGACCTAAAGAGCTAAAACAAGTCACATGCGAGTAAACTCTCCTCACATTGGTCAGAGTGTCAGGGTTTATTTTGCAGCGTCCCGCTAAGCTGTCAGGAGAGGTGGTGGTTTGATGGTGATTGACAGGGTGCGCGCACGATGTGTCTGAGGAGAGATGTGGTGGGGAGGGGTGAGAAGGGTGCCCGACGTAGCCTATTCGAGGACCGGGAGGGAGATGCGAGATTACCGGGAGATCATCACTCGTTTGCGGGCATCCGGAGACTCACGAAACTTCCCGCCATACTCATAATTCTCTCTTCATATAGCCGTATGCCTATTACATATCCATAAAACACTGTGATATAACCGCGCTCGGATCAAATCACTTTCTCACTGTAATCGAACCGCTCCAGGGTTCGTTTCACTCGAGCCGAGACCACCTCATTCAAGCGATCTCGGAGCGATTACTTTGGCACAGAACAGAGCGCGATGGCCCTGTTCACATATACCAAACGAACCGCGCTAACTGGGCAATCGAGACACGTTCCGAAACAAAAGTGTAGGTGTGAAAGCACCCTGAAATCATTCATACCCCTAGCATATAGTTGTTTAATTGTAAATAAAAGCCGTTGGCCCCTATAGCCTAGTCGTTAGGGGCACCGACATACAGCACCTTGGTGATCATGGCGACCTGAGTTGGATACCCGGCTCAAGGTCCTTTATTGACCCTACTTCTCTCTCTGCTCCAAATGCTTACCTGTCTGTAACCTCAACTGTCCTATCTCAATTAAAGGTGAAATGTAAATAAAAGCTGGGGAATTATTTTTTATTTTCACAGAGAAACCTGTGTCATTTTCGATAATAAAATCTTACTGGTTGAATAAAAGTAACTCTAAGTCAGAATTTGAATAATTTTGGGCTTGACTGTACATGTCTTTACACATTTGCTGAAGAAAACTAACAAAAATCATCCTGACCTCATTCGTTTAGAGAAGTGTAAGCATACTTTAAAATCTGATATTGTACTCGTTATTTTCACATCAGTACCTGTATGTGCTCAAAACTTGGTCTGAAGACAATGTTGGGAATGGCTAGCTCAACAGAAACCCTGAAAAGAGGAACCTGGATGGTAGCTCCACTTGGAGATGAAGAACGATATGAGGAGCTCGCAGCAAGCAGACGACGATGCAAAGCATTTAAAGAAGATTTGGTAGCTTTCAAATAAAAAGGACAATTACATTAAAGAATTACTCTGAAGTAACACTAATATTTTAAAAACATTCTCATATTTAGACGAAAGTGATTCCATTGCATGTGTACCTGTGACCAGGGCTTCTGTGTTCCTTTGACACAACTGCCCCATCATTATGTAGAAAGCACACGGCAGGCATTGTAGACAACGAGTCATCTGCTTGGCGTCAGGATGCAGACAACTGCATTTCTGTGCATTAAAATGAGTCAAACAAAAGATTGTAAAGCGCTTAGGGTTATTTAAATGAATAGTATAAATAAGGACTATATAAATAAGTAACAACATACTAAAATTTACTACACACATTACTTTACACACATTGTAATCAAATAAATTGATAATCACCTTCAAGTTGACTCTTTCTGAGGGTTTCAGCATTCTGTTCAGCTCCTCGGCTATCTCTAACATTGAGCGCTCCACCTGCTGACTTGCACTTAAACAGAAATAATAATAATAATAATAATAAAATTTATTTATATAGCGCCTTTCCAGAGCTCAAGGACACTTTACAAGGAATGCAACAAAAAGATAAACAAACATACATGAAGTCAAATATAACAAACTGGAATTACACAAACAAGACACCTAAGAGACATATGAGCAGAGTGGAGGTGGATAAGATAAAGTAGTCAGTTTGGCAGATCAGAAGCGAAGCATTCAGAAAATAAGTGAGTCTTAAGTAAGGAATTAAATTCAGAGATATTATTAGCAGAGCGGAGTGAACGTGGTAGAGAGTTCCAGAGTTTGGGTGCAATAACACTAGATGGTCTGCCCCCCATTGAAGAGAGGCGGTACCGAGGGACAGCGAGAAGGCCAGAGTCAGCCGAACGTAAAGAGCGAGTTGGGGTGTAGGGGACTAGCATGTTGCAGAGATAGGAGGGTGCTAGGTTATTTAAGGATCAAAATGCAAGGAGGAGAATTTTGAATTTAATGCGGAATGCAACCGGGAGCCAATGGAGATCGTACAAGCATTACTGGATCTGTAGTGACAACAGACCGCAAAGGATGATGGCCATGCCTAGGCTGACAGGAATTGTAGTTCCCGCTACCTCCCGTTCGCTTTATTCGCCTAAACAAACTTTTTTCAGAAATAGTTTAATTGAGTCATGCGCCTACGGTAATATTGAAAAAAATTACTATTGCGGTATGACGGTATTTACAATATTGTTACATCCCTAATACATATATATATATATATATATATATATATATATATATATATATATATATATATATATATATATATATATATATATATATATATATATATATATATATATATATATATATATCATATATATCATATATATATATATTTATTTATTTATTTATTTATTGGTTTTGATTTCTTTAGTACATATTAAAAGCCCCTGAAATCAACAAAGACAGTGTTTTTTAAAAAAAATTTGTCTCTTTTGACCATATCATTTATAACATATTTTAAAATTGTCACTCACACTTTCAGCGTTTCTCTCTCAGTGCTGATGGTGGCCGCTGTATGAGTGAGAAACATCTCGGGTGTAACTGGTTCATTTTCTGGTAGTGTCAGCAGTGTGGTCGAACACATGGACTCTAAGGTATGATTAATCCGACAATCCAGGATATCTGTAACCACCTTCAGTACTTGCTCCAGCTCTTGTAATGCCTTGTACACACAACCTATGACTGAAAACATTGAGGGAAGATTTAATACATAAAGAAAAACACAATAACGTAGGATTAGACATTGAATGGAATTAATCTCCAAAAGATATTTGCAAAAGATGACACAATGTCATGTGTAGTGCCGGTCTCTTCCTACACAAGTTAATGTGCTCTTTGCTGTGTAAATAGCCTCTGTAGATGCTTTGCAAACCAAAATGAATGTATGAATTAGAATCTACTGTATGATGAAAGGTTTCATGGCAATAACCCCTTAATTTAATTTATCTAATATTTATTACTTTTGCAATTTATATAAAGTTATATTTATTACAATAGTCAATATTGAGAGACGTCCATGAAAGAATGGTCAGCCCAGGGGACAGAGCAGTCTCCACAGATCTGATGAAGGGCTTCATCGGGGACTTTAATACACCTGGTATCTTCTTGACGACTGCATGAAACTCTTTCAGCATCATCTGTAATCTAGGACCATTAAAATGGGTTAATAAAAGTTACTGATAAAAGCTTATTCACTTCACACTTCAATTTAAAGCAATAATTTATGTCTCTCTTATAGCTTTATGAGAGGGTTTGCTGTCTTTTGCCATCATGCATTACTCATCATAACATTTTCAGAAGTAACTATACATGGTACACTAACCATTACTATACGATCATTGTAATGTTAATTTAGGCTACATATCTTTTGTGGACTCACTTGTAACGGTACTCCTTTAGCTGTGGTTCTTTGGCAGCCATGTCATGGATACCATCAGGTACAAGAGCACCCAGTTTATACATGTTATTTGCCTCTTGCAACACCTCCAGGACCAGAGGATCAAGATTTACATAGAACTCCTAAACAAAAATGATGTAGGATTAATAGGAGCAAGATAATTTTGATAATTATTTTGTTTTTGTATGTTGCAACTCAGGCTCATTGTGAATATGTACCCCTGTATAGATTTTGGGAGAGTGTAAATTATGTACCCAGGGGTATGTATGACTGCATTTAGTCTTTAAAATGAACGCTTCAGGGCAGTATGATGCAGCCGTCGGCTTCTGTTTCTTTTCACGCCACCAGCTGACAGCTTACAGTACCTCCGTGTGGACGGCTTTTCTGCTGTTACCAGTTTGCCCAGTGGATTGCCGTGTACGTCGGCAGACTTGGGAGGTAGAGCGCAGTTGAGTTCGGCAAGGTTTGAGGTTTGAGTTTAGCGAAGAATGGTTACAGAAAACCAAAAAATAAAATAAACAATAACAGGGTGAGAACGTGATAAGATCTAAAAACTTGGTAAAAAATAAAATAAAATCAGTAGAGGGCTTTTCTTGTCTGGATTGCTTTTGAAAACACTGTCGGTTGGGTTTAAGGAAGGATGTTGGTGGGTCATTCAGTCGGTCGGTCGGGTCTGTCAGTAGCTACTGATGGAGCAGGCGTGAATGGCAAGAAAGAAATTTAAGATCTAAAAAAACGTACACAGCAGCTTCTGGCGTATTCACGAAAACAAAAACTGCAAAAAAATAAATAAAATAAAAAAGTATCTCCTGGGACATATTTTGCACTCTACAGTAATGTATACAGGGCTTGGGTTGTGTATATTGGTGTTAGTATACAGTATGTGTTTCCTACATAATGGATTAAAAAAAATTTCTGCAATTAATTGTTAATAGATAATCATCATAACCTTCCAAAATAATTACTTCATTTGTCATACAGCCTGAAAACAAATAACTTTCTATATAACTTTTCCAGCCTTTGAAATGCTTTTGTAGCTTTCTCCTAACCTGTGCCTTTCTACATCTTTATCCCAAAGGTCTTTTATAAGCAAGGTGTAATGTGAGTAGAGGTATAGATTTTCACAGGCTTTGATGGTTTCCTAAGGCATTTAAATATAAAACTACTAATTAAGCTGCATACATTCACAATGATCCATTATGGCAGAAAATAATAATACAATTGAATAAAAAAATAGATGTGAACCTTGGTTGTTGGGTGTCTGGTCAGCAGCGAAGCATTGAGACCAGAGAGTCCCAATTCCACACCTTCAACCCAAGCTTTTTGATGTATCATTTCATACTCCAGGAGAACCGCAGCGAGTCTGTTGTATGACCGAATAATCTTCCTCCTGTCTGGCATCTAAAAGGCAAGACAAATTATTGTGCTGATCTGTGTTTATCTACTGATATATATAAAAATATTGAGTTAGATATATATAAAAATACTGTCTTATAAATCACCTGCAAAATGTCCAATTTGTCTTTTAGAATTTGCATGGGCAACTCAATTTTTTTAAACAGATGCTTTGACCATTCAATTTTGCCAGCCAACTGCAACAACAAACATTTAAATATTAAAGTTGTTTTCATTCAAGATGCAAAACTGGAATGTTGCAAAAAACATTTGTGAATAACACACCTTTTCCAACCAATGAGTCAAAGAAAACTAAATCGTAACGTCCTTATAAACTGGCGTCAAATATCAAAAGAAAAATGACCTGTCAGCCTCTTCTCCTACATAATACATTTTTTGAAGATCTTAGAAGACGAAATGCAATGAACACGCAGTGGATTTTGGTGCTTTTGGAGACAAGAGATGCTCAAGACAGTTCTGGACCACTGTGATGACGGACTTTGGCTAAGGGATTGTAGAATGACCAAAGCAACATTTCAGATGTTGTGCAATGTGGTCGGTCCACTGGTTTGTCCATTAAAGCCTTACCATTGCTGTCATTTCTGATATCACATGATGATTTTTTTTTAATCACATGCTGGAACGGTTATAATTTATAGTTTATGCATATTAAATTCAACATTTAACTTCTTATCGGATAAAAAGTTGATCCTACTCAATTGTGCGTATAAGTTTTTTAAAATGTATGCATATCTTGGAATTTCCATTTTTTGTGTAATATTCAAAAATGTGAATAAAAACATGGATGGAAACATACTGCTTATTTGCAGGGCTCAACAATAAGGACTGCCCGGTGGCCCAGGGCCAGCGTGAGAGACACTTGGGACAGTAGACCGGATCATAAATGGCCCGATTGGGACAGTGCTGCCTTGTCACTAATATTTAATTTGTCTGTGACTATTTGTCAATTGCATGCATTTTAAGTTTGTGCTTTTAAATCTTTAAATGCTACCTTCTCTGTAATGTGGTAAACAACATATTGCTTGCTGATTCGTCTTATCTGATTGATTTGACCATGCTATTTTTTTTTTTGTAACCTGGTAACTACCAGTACAGCGTAGAAACAGCAACATGTTGGCTCAAATTAAAAGGCTAAACGAAAATGTCTGTCTCTAACGTGTTGGAAGTAGACATTTACATGGAAACAACACGACAAAATAATAATGAAGTGATGTTATGCATAGTTTGCCGTCAGTTTGACAAGTCAGCCACCTTTTTTTTAAAAAATAAATTCAAACTGTAATAAAATGCCTCCACATTTTCCATAATGTTCTTTTTGTTTGCATAACACTTATATTTACAATTGCTTTTTGAGTATTGAAATTCTAGATTTACAGACTTTATTTTTGACACATTGTTTAAAATATGTGGTTAAAAATAGCTATTAACTTCCCTTTTTTTTGGTGGGGCCAGTGAAAATTTTGGCAGGGCAAGTAAAAATCTAAACCACTTGCCCGATCGGACCAGTAGAAAAAATCCTTAGCGTTGAACCCTGATTTGTGTTCCATATTCTCTTCTTTGTAGATAAAATAAAGCTGAATAGTTTATATAACAGGCAACTTACAGGGGTTAGTTGTGAAACGGGATTGTCCTTTTCTTTTTGGTAGCATTTGCGCACAAACTCAAGGTCACATTCGTAGCGTTGCAGAACTACCATGTATTTCTGGTTGAGGTCCATTTGTCTGCCCACACCGTTCTCAAATCTGGACAACAGCTCAAGGACCTGTTCAGTCTGTGGGTGAAATCAATAATATGGACTTTTTCAGTGTAGGAGAAATATATTTGTTTATTATATCAGTCATGACCTGTAATGAACAGAACAGTCTTTCAAGTGTCAGCTCACTAATGGTATATTTGCAAAATGCCCTTACAGTGAGTGGTCGTTGAAGCCATGTGTCAATCAGTGCATCAACAGACTGATAAAGCACCTGGATTTGATTTCGGAACTCGATGTAATCATTGTCAAACTAAAAAAAAGCATTAAATAAATAAATCATATGAGAGATGGCTCAAGTCAAACATACAAAATAAACTATAAAAATTAATACGCATTCTAACCTCTAATTTGCGATGGTCAAGCACATTGTAGGTCTTGGATTTGATGGTGGACACGATGTTTTGGTAGCGCATGTATATTTTCTCAACACCTTCAAATTTCATAAACTGCAGAACTGAAAAATCTTCAAGAGTCGTTGCCATGTCTGTTATCTTCTCCAGACGTTTGCAGAATGTGTCAAACTTTCCGAAGATGTAGTTTTCACTAGTGACATAACACATAAGAGCTGAGTTACTAAAGTAAATATGGTCACTTCAATTTCAACTTGACTTTAAAGCCGTGATTGACAGACCTTAATTCTAATTGGCGTTCATGAGGGTTCTGCTGTATTTTCTCCTTCATTTGGCGGAAGCATTGCTGGTACTCCTGGTTCAACTCAATACATTCTTTCATCCTCTTGAGCAATTCCTTTCTAAAATTGCAATAGGGATCAACGCATTATGTCTGTTAGCATTTATAAACAGTTCTAAAGAGCTTTAGCTGCATCTTACGTAACACTGACCTGTCCAACTCCCAGACTTTCGTCACCCCCTGGCAGAGATAAGCTTTGGAGGTGGTTACCATTTGATTCGTGACTTTCACAAAGAGAGATGTCATGTGTTCGGAGGTGTTGTAAAATTGAGACACTCTATGAATCATGTGTATGCTGTTCATCAGTTTGGGAATGTGTTTCAGCATGGAGGTCTGCAACAGATAATCAAAATATCCATACATTAAGTCGCACCAAGCTCACTCTCACAGACACACAAACACTTTAGTTTGCTGTTGTACTCCATGTAAAATCCAGAAACTAATCTTTTCTTTTGCACAGGTTTATTTAAAGAGTTTATGGTGCCAACTGATGACCAACAGTAAAAATTACAAGTTTGAGCTCTTCCCAGCAGGGAAAACCTCCAACGATCAAGAATGCATAACCATATGAGCTGCGTCCCAAATCGCACTTATGCACTATTATACACCATTTTGTAGTATAAATAGTGTAAGTAGTGTGTTCACACTGAAAACTCTAAAAAGAATAAGAGCACTTTAATTACCCGGATGATGCACTCATTCAGCTGCTAAAATTAAGTGTGTAATGATGGACACTTCACGCACTCAACGACCGCAGGTTTGCTTACGTAGCGGAAGAAGCGGAGCTATTGGACGCACATGATGAATAACTTTATTTATTTTGGATGGTGAAAGAAAAATTCTCCTATGAGAGTGATTATAGCGCCTCCCGTTGGTGAATGCGGCAATACTCACGGCAGTTATTATTTGATTATTCGTTCGTTATTTTCACTGATTTGGCAACCGTCAAACGTCATCAGGGAAACGGTTTGAATTTCCGCTTAGTAAAAAAACATTGGTGTGCCATTTGGGACGCCACTACATACAGGTACATATACTATCCTCCTGAGTGTGTAAGTGCATAAGTACATAGTGCATGAGTGCATAGTGTGCCATTTGGGACGCAGCTATGGTGTCATGGCTTTGCAATCAAAAAATGTGGTTATAATGGAAGTCAATGAATCAGAAACAGCCACAAATATTAAAAAAGCGCGATTTTTTTTAATCCTGCACAAAAACTAACAACGCATCAAAGGCAATGTTATTACCATAGACTGTAATAGATATGGATGTAGTATCTGTTACATCACCCATAGGTTTCTGAAAAGTGCAAATAAAGCTGCAAGTAGGCGTGGCCAACCGTCGCCATTTTGTTCACGTGTCATCACACCAATGGGGGTGGGGGGGGGCCAAAAAAGGGCAAAGAGATACAGATGGCTGCTAGCATTTTGTTTAGAAAGGTTTTCTTTGGGAGAAACTCTTAAAACTACATTACCTGTGACTTATTTGGGTTCTGACCACATGTGCAGAGTTGTGTACTTTATCAGAAAAGTGTTTAGTCTTTTAAAAACACTGTTGTAATAGATTGAGCCACTAATCATTGTTTTTATGACCTTTTTCTACAGAAGGAAAGCGCAAATTACTTCCAAACACTTCAAATATAGTCTGTGTTAGTAAATGCAAGGCTAGTGTTGAAATCCAGGCATAACACTGTATGACAGCGTTTCAGATGACTGTTCTGTAGTCTACAGCTGGTCAATCTCTCAGATTCTGGAGTGCATTACAGGTCTAAAGACAATTATAAATGATGAATTATCTTAAATAAAACTAATATATAGAGATGATATACAAGTATATACAGTAAATTCACTCACCTGGGAAATGGAGGCCACGTGAATGGTTTGTGAGCACAATTAAGTGCACACAGCATGGTATATCATCTAATAATTGTAGGAAATAAATCCAAAAGGCAAACGACTGTTTGAAGCCACATAAAACAAAACAAAAATATGATGTACATGCGGAGCTCAGCAGCTAATCAGCCGGAATCAGCTGAGGTGACATGCCGGTGACCAGCGAGACCTAGCTGTCTCTCAAGCGGCCATGCCCCTAATTATGCAGACATATTATAACCTAATAAATATGAAACGGATGAGTTATAGAAAAAAAATCACCCCTCTCACAGTTGTCATGAAGAGTAATATTAGCTATATGAACCAAAACCATCTTTTGTACCAGGCTGTAAACATGTTATTATCAGCTTTGAAATTGCCCAATTTAGCATTGCAGTCAGTGAACATCTGGAGCTCCTGGACCCAGCCCCCAAAAGGGAGTCGATGAATTGCAGTTTCAGTTACTTCCATATTGGCTTCACGAGGGTGAGCGGGATGTTGCGGCTTGGTTATTACTAATCTTTCATGTGAACAAGACTGAGATAAAAGGTAAAAAAAAAATCCAATCCACAATTACTTTTTATATTAAAAATTAGTCTTTTTGTGTTTTTTTCACCAAATCAGTGACATCATTTATGAACTTGGCAATTAAAGTGTCAAAATTCTGTTTTGATCAGGACTGAGGTTGATTAACATCTGATACATTTTTACAGCAGTTTAATTTAATTCAAATCAAATCAGGCCTTTATTTGTCACTTCGTATAGTGAAATTGATTTTGAAACAATTCGATGAGTGCGGGCAGCCAACTGGTCCAGCAGCCGTTTGTGTCGCAGGGGCACAATTCCACATTTTGGAAGAGCACTTTCTATCCAAGACTAAAAAGGGCATGTGCACTCCAAAGGTTGAGCCCAATGTGTGCACGTGCCTGATTTTTATGAATTATGCAAAGCTATTTACTAGGTTTGCTATTTTGAGTTTGGCATTTTACCATTATTTAACACTCTAAAAAAGCATGTCTGGACTCTTTTTGTACCTGTTTCGTTAGTATATTACACAGATTATATCACCCGCACAACTTTCCCATCCTATTGCACTTAAATGGGATTACCTATTAATCAGCTATCATGCTTATTAGCCCTGTTTTATAAATATTACTCAATATAAAAGCTTCTAATATTATTTTTTATATTTCATAATGTGACACTCACACAAAAGTGGCTGAATAAAGGCACTCTTGGTTACAGAACTTTTTTTGTCTTTTTTTTTACTGAAGAATGTATCAGTTTGGTTTCCCAGAGATGGGTTGCGGCTGGAAGGGCATCCGCTGCGTAAAAACTTGCTGGATAAGTTGGCGGTTCAATCCGCTGTGGCGACCCCAGATTAATAAAGGGACTAAGCCGACAAGAAAATGAATGAATGAATGTATTAGTTTGGAACTTACCGGAGTGCTTTTTTCCAAAAGTTCAAAGAACTTGTCAAGGGTAGATAAATATTTCACATTATCTTTAGCCTCATTGGCTACAATTGTAATACTGGCATCCTATAGATAAAAAAGGCATAATAAAAACATGTCAGTCTGTTAATAAGTGCACAATAAAATACAAATATTATTATGAAAAACAAAATTACAGCATTCTTTGATAATGCATGTCTATTGTAATGAGTTTAATATATGTTAATATTAAATTATAGCTTACTCAAAAATAAAAATGCACTCATCATTTATTCACCCTAGGATGGTTTTAAACCATTTTGAGCTTAATTTTATGTTGAAAATGTTAGAAATTTGGATCCTTTGACTTCCACAGTAGGTAAAACTAATTCTATGGAAGTCAACGGTTACAGGTTTCCAGCATTTTTAAAATAACTTCTTTTGTGTTCAAGAAAAGACAGATTTGGTACAAATAAAGGGTGAACAAATGATGACAAAATTTTCATTTTGGGTGAAATATGCCTTTAATTAGGAAAACCCTTGTGAATAGACAAGATGCTTTTTGAATCAGAATTGTGTGGTATTTTTAATGAAAAATTTAGATTTTCAAATATGGCATTACATCATGTAATACATATTACAGCACAAAGCGGAACTGAACTGACCAGTTCTTTCCATTTGCTCATTGTCTTGGACTTAGCTGCATGCAATATGCCAATAATCTTCTTCACATAGGGATCCTTGATTTCATCCATAAGGCTAAAAACAAACACAAATACACATTTAATAAATGTGTGTTGGATGTATAAACACTGGATTAAATATGAGTCATGGAGTAACTGAAGAAAAATACACTTTTGAATATATGGTACCTGCAGAAGGTGATCATTCTGCGCTTCCAGTGTGCCAACTCTGCTGAAGGTCCAATATCATCCGATTCTCTCCTAATGCGTTCACTCTCTGTCAACACTTGCTCGATCTGCTTGGCCCAGTATACCAGCACTGCTTCCAGATCTTCAACCAGCTCTGAGTTATTAGCTTAAACCCAAAAATGGGGGGAAAAAATTATGAGATAGTAATTATAAAAAAAATATATGTAAATAAACAAATTTGTTATATTTTACATATTTTTACATATTTATATATATATATATATATATATATATATATATATATATATATGTTTTATAAATATTATATTATATGTTTTATATAAAACAAAAAATTAAATAACAAAATAATGAATGAATAAATGAAATAAAAGGAAATGGAATTAATAAAAAATTCATAATAAAAAATAAACTAAAATAATGAATGAATGATTGAAGTAAAATCAAATGGAATGAAAAAAAATTATAATAAAAAATATAACAAAAAATAAACTAAAATAATGAATGAATGAAATGAATTAAAATAATAATAAATATATATATATATATATATATATATATATATATATATATATATATTTTTTTTTTTATATATATATATATATATATATATATATATATATATAATGAATGAACGAACGAACGAACGAACGAACGAACGAACGAACTAACTAACTAACTAACTAACTAACTAACTAACTAACTAACTAACTAATTTATTAATTAATTAATTAATTAATTAAAATAAACTGGAATGAAATAAAAATAATAATACAAATAAAAGATAATAACAAAATAATATTAAACTTAAATAAAAATAAAATAATGAATGAAGTCAAATTAAATTAAATTGAAAAAAAATACTAACAGAAAATAAAATAAAAAAATGAATGAATGAATTAAATAAAATTAAATGAAATAAAATAAAATAAAAAATAAATAATAAAAATAAAATAAAATAATAACAAAATAATATTAAAATAAAATAATGAATGAAGTAAAATGAAATGGAATTAAATAAAAAATACTAACAAAAAATAAAATAATGATAGAATGAATATATACATGAAATAAAATGGAATAGAAAATGCTAAATATTATATATTTATTTATTTTTATTCATTTTTTTTTGTACCTGCATAGCTATAGTCTTCAGGCTTCTGTATGTGACTTAGATCAGGGGCTGATGGAATGTGATGAAGCTTAAACTTTTCCTCCATGTTCCTCATCACTGAAGAGAGGGTAAAAGTGAACTTATCCACAGATCTCAGGAAGTTTTGCACATCTGGGTTCATTTGGCCATCTTTTATAGCTCCCCAGTCCTGAAGAAAAGGTGTGAATAATATATTTGTTTTAGTTCTGGTTCTTCTGCTAGTAGTCTAGCATTTCTTTTCGCACTGTAACTTCACTAATGCTGATAAATGTGCTTTGTCATTTCATTGTCACAAACCTGTCCTTTAATGAGGCTTTGTGTTAATATTGGAAATTTATGGGTGATTTGACAAATGTTTGAGTATGATCTATATTTTCTTTTATTATAAGTGCATATATTTTACACCAATCTGGTACTAAAATTTGTTTACAGTAATATGATCAAGTGATTAAAATGCATTAAAATGTATCACATGTGGACACTTGAGTTCAGATTCCATCATGCTCTGCACCACTTTTTTCAAAGTGTGACTTACTACTTTGAGTACCACTGATTGAGAAGCCCCATGTTGATGAATGAACCATTAAGTTTAAGCTGCATTTAACGTCTCTTACATCAGTGATTGGATTGACAGAAACTCATCTTAATACCAGTAGTAAATGGAGCCTTTAATGATTTCCCAAGCATCATTTATGAAATTCACTGAATCATATAATATACCTCCTGCGACTTGAGGGCTTGGTTCATGACTTGAGTCAAAAGAAACTCCAGATTGTGCAGGATACTTGACTCTGAGCAGTCAAGCATTCCAAAATTCACCTCCTGCAGTGAATGACATAAGACAATCAAATACTTATAGATGGTACCAACATGGCCAGTTACAGTCATAAACTCTCTCTCACACACACACACACTGACCTGGGATATGTTTGTAGTTGTTATGGCCTTGTCTGTGATTCTCAAGAAAAACAAACACTGTCCAGTAAGAGCCTGCAATCAGTGAAGAGTAATGTTGTTCATTGTTTCTCTCCAAAGCAACAGGCATATATGATACTTGGTCACTGGGCATTTAGAACATGCTGTCCATCCAAAGCTACTTAAACAGCATAATTATATGACTGGAACAACCTGTTTCCTCATCATTTCAGGCTTCAGTGTTACATGATTCTTTAAAAAGTGCTGCAGTTAAATTATTCCCACTGCACAGTTTGTTTTAGTTTAGTTTAAAGAATTCTTTAAAGGATTGAGAATTTTGATGGTAATGCTTTTATTAAAAGAGTACCTGTAATGGCAGTGCTTATGGCCTTGATATGCCAATGATAATAATAAAAAAACTACTCATTGCAGATTGAAAGCAACTGTGATTAATTGTGTAATTGCCATTAATGCTCGGTTTGGGACTTGTGGAGCTGCGCATCGATGGATTTGCTCTTCAGTGTTTGGACTTTCAGTAATGACATTGGAACCACACTGAACTAAACCAAACTGAACTTCAACACTGAAAACTAGACTGATACAGTTTACATTTACTAGAACTTCTATGTTGTGCTGCTTTAACACAATCTAATCTATTTCTAGCACTATAGAAATCAAAAATAAATAAATAAATAAAATAAATAATTGTCCTACAGTGTACAAGAGTTGTTACTGTACCTCATGATCGCCTGATGTAATGAACAGCTTCTTCTGTCCTTTGGCTACATTCGAGGTGTCGTTCCCAGAATTGGACTACAGTGAAATACAGGCAGAAATTGACTTGTTTGTGTTAGGGCAGGCAAATGCTTTTATGATATCTGACAGTCAAGTAGTAGGTTTTACCGATTCAGTAGCTTGGTAGAACAACATGAGACTTTTTGAGCCATTGGCTGAGAAGAATTCCTCGATCATGTAGAACTGCAGAATAAAAGTTCACACATTTTAGGGCTCAACAATAAGGACTGCCCGATGGCCCGGGGCCAGCGTGTGAGAAGCTCGGGACAGTAGACAGGATCGTTACTGGCCCGATAGGGCCACTAATGCCCAGTCACTAAAGTTTAATTTGCCTGTGACTATTTGTCAATTGCAAGCAAATACAGTCAGAATAGAGAAACCTTTTGTGTTTTTAAGCCTTCAAATGCTACCTTCTCGGTTCCTCTTATCTGATTGGATGTTGTGAGCATGTTATTTTTTTCCGTAACAATCAGTACAGCTAAGAGACAGCAACATGGCGGCAACATCAAGTAATGATGCTAAAGGAAAACATTTGTCTGTAGCGTCTTGGAAGCAGACATTTACGAGGGTACACCACGACTAAAAAAAATGTGGTGATGTTTTGTACAGTTTGCCGTTAGTTTGGCAGGTCAGTCATCTTTTGGTTTTTCAAAAAAAATACCTGCACATTTTGCTACTTTTGTTTGCAAAACAATTTATTAACAATTTTTAAATATTTAAATTCTAGATTTACGAACATTTTGACATTTTTTTTTATTTGTGGCTTAGAAATGGCTATTAACTTTTTTTGGTGGGGCCAGTGACAATATTGGCAGGTCAAGTAAAAATCTGAACCACTGGTCCGATCGGGCCATTAGAAAAAAATCCTTAGCGTTGAACCCTGCATTTATACGCACCCAGTGCATGTTTTGTGATATTGAGAATGCCAACAGTAGGGCTGCACGATAATGGGAAAATATGCAATATAGTTGCTGAGTATTGCAGTAACAATATTTCTCACGATATATTATTTCCCAAGATGTTTTTTTAAATATACTGTATGTAGTAATATTAACATAAACTGGTAATATTTTTCAGATCTAACTACTAATTCTAATCATTTAAAATGCTATGAATGAGTGAAAACCTAAGTCTGGCTGTTGTCATTTTCCTCCTTTGTATTGACTTCTGTCATTAGTATTCATTTTCAAATCTAAGTTCACCTTTGGGCCACTCTAGCCAATAGCAGAACAGCATTTATTGGGGAGCTAGGGCAGGGTTTAAGAATAAGGACTGCCCGATGGCCCGGGGGCAGCATGAGAGACGCACGGGACAGTAGACAAAATCATTACTGGCCCGATTGGGCTATAGTGCTGCCTTGTCACTAAATTTTAATTTGCCTGCAACTATTTATCAATTGCATGTAAATACAGTCTTAATATCGAGAAACAGCTCGTGCTTTTAAACCTTTAAATGATACCTTCTCTGTGAAGTCGAAAACACTGTTTTGCTTTTCGGTTCCTTTTAACTGATTGGATGTTGTAAGCACACTTTTTTTTTTTGTAATCTGGTAAAAAACCAGTACAGCGAAGAGATGGCAACATGATGGCAACATCAAAATATGAGGCTAAAATAACTTCTGTTTCTAATGTCTCAGAAACAGACATTTACGTGGTAAGACACAACATAAAAAATGAAGTGATATTCTGAACAGTTTGTCATCAGTTTGGCAAGTCAGTCACCTTTTTGCAATAAAATACCTGCACATTTTCCAAACTGTTCTATTTTACAGACAAATATTTTATAAAAATTTAAATTCTACATTTATAGACAATATTTTTGTCACATTATGTAAAATATGTGACTAAGACATGGCTATTAACTTCTTTTTTTTTCTTTTTTCTTTTTTTTTTTTGGCAGGGCAAGTAAAAACCTAAACTACTGATCCAATCGGTTCAGTAGAAAAAATCCTTAGTGTTGAACCTTGTAGGGGATACAGAAAAGGCCCAATCTGATTAGTTAAATTTAGATAAACAATCTATGCATAAAATAAACGTTATTTATCAAATGTCTGCAATGCACACATTGCATATAATATTATCGCGATAACATTAATTTTCTTTTGTGATATAATGTGTAGCCCTAGTCAACACTATTATATTTTACACACCTTATCATCCGCAATGATAGCTTCCTCAACTTCCATGTCTGCCAGGCTGATGGCCTCTGCAATGACAGAGATGAGGTATCTGTGTCGGGAATCAAGAGCTGCTCTGCGCTCATCTTTGAAAGCTCTGACCAGTTTAACTCTCTCCTGCTGGGCTTCATTTGACAATATCACAGAGCGTTTCCCTGATATCTGAGAGAGAGAAGTCAAGTCCGTTTACAGCAAAACTACAAACATGTGCAACATGAACTGATATCCATATAACAAAGTATGTTCAGTAAAACTAACTGAACAAATCAAATATTTATAACTAGGTCTGCACGGAATCTACGCGTGCAGAATTTCGCAGATTTTTAGCCCATCATTAATTCTGTTTATTTACTTGAGTAAACGTGTGTAAATCTATATTAATTCAGTTTTTAAATTACGTACAGTAATATTGTTGACTAATATTAAAATCTTCAGGCGATGGGCAGGGCTAAATTGTCCGTAGTGAACAGTATGTGTGTGAATGAGTGTTTGTAGATGTTTCCCAGAGATGGGTTGCAACTGGAAGGGCTTCCGCTGCATAAAAAACGTGCTGGATAAGTTGGCGGTTCATTCCACTGCGGCGACCCCGGATTAAAAAAGGGACTAAGCCGAAAAGAAAAAAAATGAATGAATAAAATGTTCATCTGATTTATGTACAATGCTGTTTATTTTTTAGTAGAGATATTTTATGATAGACTTTGTGTACCAAGTAAAGTAAATCTAATTGGATTTGAATTTTAAACATTAAATAAAAGTTTAAAATATATATATATTTTTTATTTTACATATTAAGGTTTTAGTTATGATACTCCCAAAATAATTTCACAGAAATCTGCAGATTTTTACCGAAATTCTCCACAGAAATAGCAAAAAAATGTCCGCAGATTATGTCTGGCCCTACTAATAACCAATTTTTGTAGATTTTCTCTTTTGGTCATTTTGTGTATAGTATTACTTTTAAAATTATACGAAAAAAATATGTAATAATAAAGAAATAAATAAGTGACCCTGGATCACAAATCAATAATTTTGACCCATAATTATGGGTCAAAATTATTGATTTTTCTTAAATGCCACAAACATTAATCGCGTTTGATGAAAAGAAATGTAGTGAATTTCCTACAGTAAATATAAAAACTCATATTTTGATTAGTAGCATTAATATGCATTGCTAATAGTAATAGCTTAATTTAGATAAGGTGGTTTGCTCGATGTTTTTTTTTTTTTAATACTCAGATTCTTTGAATTATTTGGCCATTCTACAAAGCCATATATCAATAGAGAGCTCATTTATTAGGATTTTTGGTGATGTATAAATCTCAATTAAAAACTAATTGACACTGATAACTGATTATGTAGGCCAGGGTCTCACACAAACACACACACACACACACACACACACACACACACACATAAAATATTAAATCGTTTACTTACAGCAGTTTGGACTGGGGCGGGTACAGCAGTTGGTAATGCATGTTCAATGTTTTTTATCTTTCGCAATCCGAGTCTTCTGTGTTTAATAACACCTACAGTACATTTAAGAAGACATACAATGGAGAGAATCTTATCTTACTTATCAGTACATTAAAACCACATGTGGTTGTAAAACATCAATCTGTTAATCTCAAACACTGTCATCATACCAGTTTTTATAGTGGTTAGTGGTGGTTTTACTTCTAGGTCCAGATGTGAGGGTAGGAGTGGGTTCATTATATCATCTTTCTCTTTTTCATGAGGTGACCCAGTGTTTTCCTCCTCAAATTGAGAGTTTTGTTTCTCTTCCATGGACATGCCAGGTACTTCTGACTCAGGATCAGTTGCCCCTTCTGCGCCGTTGTCTTCCATAGGAGGAGACTCTTCGTTTTCTGTCATTTTTTTTTTATGTCTAGGATGTTCAAATGAGAAATTATTTATCATTCACAGACACACTGCAGATATACAATACCTTAATGATATTCCTTAATGCTACACTTATAAATACCATAGTGTATTCAAGTCTAGTAAGGCTGGATACTTTAATTAGATGCACATTTTTAAGGTTACATGTCAATTTTAGTCTATGTCCCTTTTTGGATTTCCATAAAGTTTTCCCCCCAGTCTAATGGAAAGGGAATATTTCCCCTCCTCCCTCCCAAATAAAAAAAAGAGAAAAGGAGGGGAAAAAAGATTTTGTGCCTGTAGATTTAAATAAATATTTTAAAGACAGTTTTCTCAAAAAAAGATGCGTTTTAGAAATCTATTTATATAATATATGTTGATTAAGTCATTAATCTCCACTTCATCAGTGCTTAAACCAAATTGTACATTTTATTTATATCAAAATTCAGATCTTTGTCAGACAGGAAGATCTTCGGAATTTGGATTTTGCTGATCATATATACTTTATTTTACAAGTAATTGTGAATGTTAATTTTTCAGCATGTTCACAGTATTTTCTGATTTATGGAAAGATAAAACTATATTATTATGATTAAATGTTTATGCTAGCTATTTAATCAAGGACTAATTTGTCCATTCAAATATAAAATTTTAGAAACCGTGTATATGCAATGTTAGGGATTAAACATCTGGGCAAGTATGGTGATAAAAAATAATTTTTACCCACGGCCTATTCAGCTGCAACGTCTTCCTTTAATTTCATTTAAATTTGAAGAGGATTAACCGACATAACGAACATCCTGTCACAGAGTTTGTGTGTAAATCAATGAAACCTTTCGGAAATTATGACATTTACGAAAACTGTACTTCTAATTAACTGTAGATGAATTATTAAGTATTTAAATCGGGTCAAATGACTATATGTTAGAAAGTTTACCATATAACGTTAAAAGCTTTAGGTTGGTTAGAAATATGGGAATTTGTGTCAGCAGTACTTTGGGGGATTTCTGATCGTTAGAGAAACTTGTTAGTTCTGATAGACCAACAAAAAGAAAATTACGTAATCCATCAACAGCATTATGGTTTAACAAATCATATAACGTTAGTATTTCTTTTTATTTTAACGTTAGTCTCTTAATGACCTTAGCTCTGTCAAACGATTATTCTAGTCAGCGAGTCCTTTTTAACAGTCCTATTTGTAGTATAAAGTGCATAAAGCACCCTAGATTACCTTTTAACTTAACAAGAAAACATATTTAGAGTAAGTAATGATTTTATTTCCCTTTGCAGTTAATTTAGCGCACTCACCTTGACTGAGGGTCCTCAAATCTGTGAGAACGAACTGAAAGCCTGAGGCAAAGTTTATTGTTGCTATGGTGATCGAGGCGCGCGCCTGAGCAGGACGCGCACACAAATCAGACCATCAAGAATAGAAGATGAACTTGAGCATCATAAAAAGGACATTTCGCCGTTATAACTTTAATTATAGAGAAATAAATTATGTATTATTTAACCTCAACCAAAAAGCACACTACATAACGATTACACACAGCGATATGCGCAAATTTATTTTTTAGTAAGTGACATTTTGGTAATAGGCCTATATTTAGTATCACTATTTTGAAATATTTCACATAAGATGTTTAACAGCGCAGTATTTCCCATTTGTTTTTCTGGAGAAAATGTTTTTTAACTGGAATAAAAGCAGTTTTTTTAATTTCTAATATCAATTTCAAAGGTGAGTATTGAGGCCCCTATTTTTCAATCGGCCACAGAACAAATCACTGCTTAAATTGCCTAATTAACCTAACTTGCCTAGTTAACCTAATTAACCTAACTGAGCCTATAAATTGCAATTTAAGTTGAATACTATCTTGCAAATTAACCAGTAAAAAATATCATGCACTTTCATCATAAAGATGAAAAAAATGCCTATCGTCTATCTTCTCTCTATGAAACTGTAGACTTGGCAATCTAAAAGAATAAAAAAAAAAAATCAGGAGTGCTAATAATTTTGACCTCAACGTGGACTGTGTGAAGATTATGCTACATGTGTCATAAAACTTCACTTATTAATATAAAATGAATATTATGGAAATAAAAATTTATATAAAATTTGTAGTAAATAAAATTATTAAAGTTCTTTTCTTTATAAAATATAATATTATTCGTTGTGCAAAATGGGCAAAATGAAATTACAGAATATATATTAGTATCAAAATAGCCATAGTCTACTAAAATAGCAATAAAATGTATGTATAATTATATAAGGGAAATATAACATTGAATGATATTAATATTAGATATTATTTCCAATTACTATATGATAAAATGCATTTAGTCATTATCAGGCATCACAAAAGTAGGTGCCCACATCCACCCACTAATAATCAAATAACCTATTTGCAGAGCGATCAAGTCGCGTCGCACGCGCGATGTGAAGGCGAGTTGCGTCCGTCACGTCACAGCTGTATGGAGGAGCGCTCAGGGCCTCAGACACGCTTCACTCGAAGAAAAGTTAGAACGGGACAAACTGCAGGAAACGACCTCTGTTACGAGCTACATATTGTTCATTTAACGGATTATCTGAACAGAAACAAATGCTTTAAAATATCCCACTGTTAAACATGAGGTTTACGAAGCTGTCTCTGTTCTGTGAATTGGGAATCATATGCCTTGTGCTGATCAACGCAGGGTGGTGCGCCGTTTTTGAGAGGAAAGGTGAGTGAAGTTGCTCCATCTGTCACTAACTCTTTTTTTAGATTACGTTCTGAAATGCTAGTCCCGAAAGCTTTTTTACACTGATATATAACAATTTTATACATTTTTAATCAGAATTTGCTTTAATTAAAAAAAAAAATTGACACCTAAAGGTCCATGTCCAGGTCTAAAATAACCCACATCTAAAATCCATAATGATACATACATTTTTAAAGCCTTAAGCATTTCCAAGCATTTAAATGAGCAATTTTTGCAAGGCGGAAAATAAAATTGTTAAAACAACCTGCCGAATTACATACAGAGAGAAAGACCAAATATAGCATAGACTACTAGCTTTACTTATAAATTGCTTAACAATGAACTAACAATCACTAACATAATTAGTTGCTTATGAGCAATTCCAGCGTTATGGATGTGACATCTGCAGTAAAAACTCAAAACATATATTCACAGAGAATGTAAACATTATATTGAAACATCTGTTTACATGTTACAAAACAACACAGAGTTATGGGATTAAAAAAATATCAATCTGTAAACATTTTTTTATATTTTAAATGAGTAAAATAAACATGCGTTATGGATATGACCAAAAAGTTTGCAAGTTAACAGTATACAAAATACTTTGTAGAAACTCTATGAATTAAACCGCACAACCCAAAAGAAATTATGCTAATCAAAAGGAAAAGAGTTGGCTTACTATAAAACAAAAATTATTTTATTTTGTTTGACATTTTTGCATTTATGAAGTAAAACCTTCGTTATGGATGTGCTTTCTCTCTATTATGGATGTGACAGATTGTGTGACAGAAATTGGCACTTGTGTGACTTGTGTAAATCATTTAATCATAAATATACTGTATTTATGCAAAATATAAAATGCATAAATAAAAATGAAATTAAACAATATGTGACCCTGGACCACAAAACCAGTCTTTTTTGGCATGAAAGAACAATAATTCTGACTCCTATAATGTATTGCTGGCTGTTGCCAAAAATATACTCATGCAACATAAGTCTGATTTTGTAATTCAAAATATTATATATTCAAATGAATTCTTACCAAGTCAACATATTAGACTACTTGGAGGAAATCATGGCACATGTAAGAACACAGAAGCCAGATTTACCTTTAAGAATATTTCTGTAAAATCTCTCAGACAGAAAAACAGGATGCGTTTCAACAATTGCTGTTGACTTTTTGTGATCATGTGGATCAATACTTTTTGCAACAGTGCAAACTTGCTTTACAAACTGTGTTGATCCAGTGACACAGACTTAAACTTAGTCACAAGCTGAACATATAGAGTTATCTGTTGGAAAACAAGCTTATGGGGAATTTGGGTTATAGGACAAACTCATAAAAAAGAATAGACTGTGCTGGTTTGATTACCTAGAAATTGTAGATCATTATATGGCAAGACGTCATGCATTTTAGATCCGTGTTTGTCACATTTGGCTCCAAAAAGTGCTACGAGTGCAGGGAAATGTTTAAAGAAAAAGCATAAACTAATACATTGAGATAAATATTTGTCTTTATTTTTTCTTTTCTTTTTTTTCTTTCAATCTTTATTTCATTTGTTTTGACTATCTTGTCTGTCTGTCTGTCTGTCTGTCTATTTAACATTTGGAAAGACACGAATGAGCATTATTTTTAATTAAGTTCAAGACCACTTCACTAAGAACCTGGTCCTTTATTCATTCATTCATTCATTTTCTTGTCGGCTTAGTCCCTTTATTAATCCGGGGTCGCCACAGCGGAATGAACCGCCAACTTATCCAGCAAGTATTTACGCAGCGGATGCCCTTCCAGCCACAACCCATCTCTGGGAAATATCCACACACTCATTCACACACACTCATACACTATGGACAATTTAGTCTACCCAATTCACCTGTACCGCATGTCTTTGGACTGTGGGGAAAACCGGAGCACCCGGAGGAAACCCACGCGAACGCAGGGAGAACATGCAAACTCCACACAGAAACGCCAACTGAGCCGAGGATCGAACCAGCGACCCTTTTTGCTGTGAGGCAAACGTGCTACCCACTGCGCCACTGCGTCGCCTATTCACTTCATTTTTATTATTATTTGTTTATTGGTTTTAAGTACCAAAATAGAATACTAAAAATAAAAGACTCCAGACACTTAGTAACAAAGGTCTAATAGAGTAAGAAACAATATTCAACATTAAAATGTAATAAACTGGTAAGAGATATCGTCCAAGTGCACAGAATAGAGAAAATGGAATTTGACTTGGATCAAATTATAATATATTGCTTAGACCAGAATAATCTGACAATAATAAAGAGAAAGTTTACACCAAAATTAAAGAAATTGAGTTTCTTCACAAAATGAAAAAACCTGTAACATTTGACTTCCATAGTAAAAAAAAAAAAAAGGAAGTCAATGATCCAACACTTTTGATTTCAACTGAAAAAAAATACCCAAACATGTTTGTGTAAATTGAGAGTGAGTAAATGTTGACAGAAATGTTACATTTTGGGTAAAATATTACTTTAAGAGAGTAAGTGGAGCAGGAATAGACAAAGAAACAACCATAAAACAAATTTGATCATTAGAAATAAGAAAAGCCATCTAATTTTATTATATTGGAAATGGTTTTAAAATATTTTACAGTTTTCCTCAGTGGCTTTGGTGCAATTCTCACAACACTATTTACATTTGCACAACAGTTAATGTATTTCTCAAAACAATTAGTCATTTTTACACGTCATCAGGCCCGGGTTGGCTAATCGGGAGGACCGGGAGAATTCCCGGTGGGCCGGTCCGTTTTTTGGCCGCGAGGGCCGGTATCCCTAGCTCCAGAATCGGTTGCTCTCAGCAGTCACACTTTTTAAATTTATTTATCTAAGTTATTTACTTGACCACAGCCGTTTTATTCATTATTTTACCGCAGCTCTACTCTTTTTATCTATTTTCTCGCAGCTCAGTGAGCAAGTTGCAGCCTGCAGGTTAATGAGGATATAACTTGGTCAACTTTCACTAAACAGCTGTTGTGGTTCAGTGGTTAGCATGTTAGTTTTCTACCCCGCAGACCCGGGTTCGATCTTCATTTGAGTAATTAATTTTTTTATTTTTTTCATTTTTATTGTTAAGACATAATACTGTTAGGGTTGTTGAACATTTGAAGTTCTAAAGCAGTTGTTTTCTCAAAAAAAGACGTGATAGTGTCATTAGAAACTGATTTGGAAATGACCTTATTTTAATATAGTCAGTCGTGAACTGAGGTGGGCCGGTCTGAGGCTTGAAACTCCAGGGCTGAAAAGGAGTCCCACTCCGGCCCTGCTCGTCATAGTAGCAGTTTCTCATTCCTTCAATAGTATCTGGATGCAGCCTTTATGTTGCAAGCTGAGACTGCATCACACAGCGATGCAATGTCAGACACAATGCACTCAAATGGAATGAGTGACATCACTGTGACTGGTAGGGTTAGGGGTTGGGTTAGGTGAGCGCATTAAAAAGCATTGGATGCAGCTCAGATGGCACTGCATCAGGTCTGCATCCAGACCCCTCTCCATCCCATTATTACATTATCATATGCTTGTGTCATGTGTCAAAATTAACAAAACTTGTGAATGCTAAATAGTCATTCCATATATAACTAATAGTCCTCATTTCATTAGTATACAAAAATGTTCGGCTAGTTGTCAAAATCCATCAAGCTAATTTTATTTATTTTTTTTTAATGTAAATATTTTTTTCCTTAAAATGTCTTCTAAATTTAACAAATTCATGAATGATTTATAGACCTATCTATGTTGTCTGTTCAGTTCCAATATGTGCTGCAATATTGTTTACAGTTGTGCACCTCTACCCAAAGGGAGTTTGTTTATTGTAAATAAGGGTGTATTTATTTGTTTGCACAATGCTGTAAATAAATTAGAATTGCAAATAGCATATGCAGTAAAAATGGGAAACATACATATTCAGTGTCTTGTACTCGGATACCTCACTAAATGCAGTGATGTCTAACTTTACAGTAGTTTTCAAATGGCTGTGCAAATAGCATATAGTGCTGTCTTGAGCATTTTCAGGAAGGGTCACTAAAATCTGACTTTTTTGCATTGGAAAAAATGTAGAGTTAACTGTTGTGCAAATGTAAATAGTGTTGTGACAAATGCACCAAAGCTACTGAGAAAACTGTAAAAGAACATGCTCTGTAATTTGTGCTCTAAACATGGCACATAGCACATATTACAAAATTAATTACTACCTGTAACCTATACATTTTCTAGATTTCTTATTACATAAAACACCTTATCAGAAATGATTTAGGCTAGAACTTACACATGCATACAGACAACTAACCTTGGCGTCTGCATTATTCTCCAGTATGCCAGGGAACCAATTTTAAGCTGGCTCCTCTGGGTCATCCGGACGATCACTACAGAGCCATGGTGCGCATGTACAGTAACTGTACAGTAGTGTTAGAGAACCTGGAGATCACCTATGTTCAGGAGTACCACGACCTGTCCTTCCTTAAGGTGAGCCACATTACTTGTTGAAACATAAAATAATATGGTTAGTTTTGATTTATTGGGGACTTATAATATTACATGTACATTGTGTTGTGTTCATTCATTTTCATTAGGCTTAGTCCCTGATTTGTCAGGGGTCGCCACAGAGGAAAGAACCGCCAAATATTCCGGCATATGTTTCACGCAGCGGATGCCCCTCCAGCTGCAACCCAGTACTGGGAAACACCCATACACTATAGCAATTACACAGCACTCAAACTCATACTCGAACCAGTGACCTTATTGCTGTGAAGCAACAGTGCTAACCACTGAGCCACCATGCCACTCACGTTGTGTTCATTTTAAACCAAAAAAATACTAAATTGATCAGAATAGTATGAAGCTGCATATATACATTTAGAATGGGACTTAAAACCAAATCAGCTACAATAAAGGGGAAAAACACAAAGCAGTGAACCGGTAACTCGATCAAGCATTCTTGTGCCTTTTAACTTTTGAATAAATTTGATGTTATGAATTTGATTATGGATACCTAAAAAGCTTCATTCAGCTGTAACTTTAATACAAAAGCTGACACATTAAATTAACATACATTTTTCTTTGCTCCATTTTAACTGCATTTACAGAATAGTCTAATACTCCATTCATTGAAAGAAAGTATCAAATGTGTCTTTACATAGTTTGTTTTAAATATCATGTCTTATAAATGCATATATTTTTGCTTCTATAATGTGATCAATCTAACTGTATTTTATGAGGCTTGCAGTCTTAAGAATAGCACACCTGACACACTATTAGAAATAAAAGTCCCAAAAAATGTTTCTTTTTTCTGCAATGCCACAGTATAACTATTTTTTGTTTTTTAAAGTATCTTTCAATTTAAAATTATTCATTCATTCATTCATTCATTCATTTTCTTGTCGGCTTAGTCCCTTTATTAATCCGGCCAACTGCCAACTTATCCAGCACGTTTTTACGCAGCGGATGCCCTTCCAGCCGCAACCCATCTCCGGGAATTTTTTTATTTATTTAAAATAATATTTTCTTTTTATTTGAAAAACATTTTTAATCATCTAATGATCTCTTTTCCATGGATAATAGTTCTTCATGAAACCATTATATCCAGTTAAAAGATCTTATAATTTGGAGTGTACTCGTTTAAAACGATAGTTCATCGTAAGATTTTAACTCTGTCACCATTTCCTCACCCTTCCAAACCATTTTGAGATATGAACAAAAAAGGAGATATTTAGAAAAATTAAATTTGTAATCATTGATTTTAGGAGTTTTTTTTTAGATCCTATGGAAGTCGATGGCTACAGGTCCTCTGTATTTATCAAAATATCTTCCTTTGTGTTTCTGTTCATTGTGGGTGAACTATATACTGTACCTTTAAATAATTTAATAAAATTTGCATCTAAAAGAAAACCCTACAAATGTACATGTGATAAAGCTGAAAAAATAAATTTTACACACCTTTTCATTGAAAATATTCTGAATTAAAGAAAAGATCAACAAACCTAATTTTGGGTTAAGGTCTTTAGATCAAGCAAACCTTAACAACCTTTTTTTAAACGGGGCTGACAAAATATTCTATATCACCACAGAGCATTGAAGAAGTCCGCGGCTACGTGCTAATTGGAGTAAACAACATCGATGTGATACCCTTGGAAAACCTTCGGCTCATTCGAGGACATTCTCTCTTTGAGGACAGATACGCCCTCAATGTATTGTTAAACAACAACAGAAATGAGTCCTCAAAAAACACCAACGGCCTCAGAGAGCTGCGTTTGAGAAGTCTCACAGGTAGATCACATCTATATGGTTTACATGTCTGAATGCGACACAATGTGCTGGACGCAGCCTGCATTATGTACTGTATATTAATTGACATTTATAGTGAGAGATATTTGTTTTTCTATTTTTGTATTGCAGAAATTCTTAAAGGTGGAGTTAAAATAGTCCACAATCCTTTTCTTTGCAATGTGGAGACCATACAGTGGTTGGACATTGTGGAGCACGGCAGCTATGTGCACGTGTCACGAGAAATTGGTGCTCAGTGTAAGTCTGTCAGAAACGTTCAATAATACTTTTTACTCAGTAAATATTCACAAAGTCATTCAAAAGTCACAGTTTTGAATTTTATATTTATCAAAGAATGAAATCTGGATAAAAAAATGTTTGATACTAAAATGTTCTACATCTCCGATTCCAACTATTTCCTTGTGGATTTCTCAGTTGTATTTCGATAAATTAACTTATGACCTCAACCACAAACAGGACAAATTCAGGAGACTTTAAGAACCTCTACACAACTTATTAATTTAACTTTATAAATTTAAAATTAAATTTTTGTTGATAGATACATTTGTACATTTTATTTAAATGGCAGCGCTTGGGCTTTTGTTTGTTTGTCTGTGTGTTGGTTTGTACCATTTCAAAATCCTTAAAAAAAAAAATCATAAAAAAATGTACAACACACACATGTTCAGTGTTATTGATAATACTTTTTTTCCTTAAAGTCCATATGAAATCAAAATTTTTAATTTTTATTTTGGTAATGCATTTAGTTAGTTACAATTAATCTATGCTGTTATTCTACTGAAATGTTTTGGTCATATTTAATCAAAATCTAATCATTTGTTTTTACTATGGAATGGCAGCTTCTCTAAAGATGTCAGTTTGGTGGATTGGCAGAAATGAGCTTAGCCACACCCCTCCAACTTTTAGTTTGCTGCAAGTGAAAGATTTAATAACCCCCCCCACTCAACATTCCATTTCAGTTGGAAGTCGGATTTTAATAATAAATACTAATAATATTTATATTAATAATTATTATTAATAATAATAATAATTAATAATAAATAAATTTTAATAATAAATTTGTTTATCATTTAATCACCCTTCACTTTTCACAAACCAATTAGAATAAATTTTTTTGGTTGTTAAAAAAAGTTCATGGGCGGTGCGGAGGCGCAGTGGGTAGCGCTGTCGCCTTACCGCAAGAAGGTTGCTGGTTCAAGCCTGGGCTGGGTCAGTTGGCATTTCTGTGTGGAATGAAAAAAGTTTATTATGGAAAGAATTCTGATATTCTTTATTATATCTTTAGTGTTTAACACAACAAATACAACTCATAAGGGTTAGTAAATAGTAAACAAATGTTTATTTTGGGGCAAACTATCTTTTTAAATAGCAAATTAGTATATTAGAAAGATTTTAAGGAGAATTGTGTGACACTGAAGACTACAGAAATTATGGTTATAATTCAGCTCTGATGGATTGACAGACAGATAGATAAATAGATGGATGGTCGGATGGAGAGACGGAGGGGGAGAGAGAGGGGAGGGTGGATGGATGGATAGACAGACAGTCAGATGGCTAGACAGACAAGACAGGTAGACAGACAGTCAGAAGACTAGACAGACAGATAGATCAATTATTTGTATAAGAGATTTGCCAAACCATTTAATAAATAAATGTGTGTGTGTCTTTGTATATCTTTTTAATATTAAAAGCTGACATAAAATAAACTCTTTCCTTCATACTCCAGGCAGACCGTGTGATTCAGGCTGCTATAGTGGATCATGTTGGGCTCCAGGACCGGAGAACTGCCAGACCTGTAAACACTACTGCATAATTCTCCATACAGTATATCAATATATGAGTGAACTACACCCTTATGAGCTGTTTGATCTTCACTGTCAGTGACGCGGCTGAGCTGTGCTGAGCAGTGCTCGCGGAGGTGTAAGGGCCCCAAACCCATCGACTGCTGCAATGAACATTGCGCTGCCGGCTGCACTGGACCCCAGCCCACAGACTGCCTGGTGCGTGACACACTTCCCAAATGTCATGTAGCATATGTCATGTAATATAGAAAGATGAAAGTCTTACATTTTAAAGTGCCATTATTATTTAATTTACAAGATTCCTTTTTCTACAGGCCTGCAGAGATTTCCAAGACGATGGGGCATGCAAGGACTCATGTCCACCTCTAATGCTGTATGATCCCATTAACTACCAACTCGTTCCCAATCCTAACGGGAAGTACAGCTTCGGAGACACCTGTGTGAAGCAGTGCCCTCGTAAGTTTTGCTTGTGAGATTACTATGATTAGTCTAAAAACTGTACTGCATATCTTTCCCTTAAAGATGAAATATAAGAATGCCAAAAAATCATGGAGGTATCCTGGCACATTGCTTGAAGACTCTGGTCTTCAAAGTTTTGTTAACATACAAGCAAAGACACACCCAGAGATTATGAGCAAATACATAATTCGTTTTTTCAGGTGTCAAGGTTTACTTTAGGTAAACACTTCACAATACAACTTCAATTCAGTAATACAATTCTGTAGATATTAAAGGAAGAGTTCATCCCCAAAAAATTGTATTTTGACAACTTTAAATGTGATTTTTCTCAGCATTCAACTTAAAGATGATTTAAATCTCTGTTTCAAAAACAAAATTAAGACTGCATGGTTGAATACAGGGAAGATAAGCCTGTATTGGACACAATGTAGGAGAAACAGCAAACTGAACTGCAGCATCTCTCTGCTGTAGATAACTTTGTAGTGACTGATAATGCCTGTGTCCGATCCTGTGGCAGTAACATGCAAGAAGTGGAAGAAAACGGCATCATAACGTGCAAAAAATGCGAAGGCTTGTGCCCAAAAGGTCAGCAGCATCATTACTAATTTAATAATACTCCTTTTCTAGTCTTTGTTTTTTGTTGTTATTATATTAAATCAGTGTTGTCTGATAGGGATAACAAAATGTGAAATGACTTGAGAGTGTGTTTTGCTTTAGTGTGTAATGGTCTCGGGACAGGAGAGCTTGTAAACACCATTGCAGTCAATGCAACCAACATCGATTCATTCATCAACTGCACTAAAATAAACGGGCACATTACAATAATGCAGATGACTTTTAAAGGGTGAGAATTTATGGGCTGCTTTCTTTTAGACTGAATCAGTCAAGCTGTTATAGATGCAATAGTCAAACTATTATCATTTTTGAATGATTGTCTTTAAGGGATGTTCACACAAATACTCCAAGCATGGACCCTGCCAAACTTGACTATTTCAAGACGGTGAAGGAAATTTCAGGTAAAAATTATTTACTTATATTTTTAAAAATTGCATTTAAATATTTATTTTCGTTATGCACGAGTATTATTATTATTATTATCATCAATATAATATTCCTACGAAAATAAACATGACATAAACTTTAACATAATGAAATGTTATAATTACTTAAGCCCTTTAAGTTATAATTACTTTTTAAGGCCATTTCTACAAGTTTTTTTTTTTAAATGTCAGAAAACAGTTCATGTAATACTGCTACTTCTAATAATATTAATTACTATTATAATTATGATATATTATTTAATTATCAATAGGTTATTTCTTAAAAACACAAACATTACATTAAATAAAATTGAATAAAATAATGACAGTCATTAAGGCTATTCATTCAAAACTTTTATTAAAATATCAGAAAATAATTTATATAATATATTAATAATATAATATTATAAAAAATAATGAAAATTAGGATAACTGTAAAAATAATAATTATAAAAGTTATTCGTTAATTGAAAAAAATATATATATATACAATAATAATAATACTATTCAATGAATGGAATATTATTATTATTATTATTATTATTATTATTATCATCATCATCATCAACAGGTAATTATATAATAATACTGGAATGTGATCTCCTGGCTAAATAAAATTTAAATAATTATGTAATAGTATATAATAATTACTGTTATTAGGACACACCAACAAAGATTTTATTTAAAAATACAATAGACTTTATTTATATAGAAAATAATTGATATTTACTACTACCACTATTAATCTTAATGTTGACAATTATTATTATTATTTACTATTATTTACTAATTATTATTGAGGAGTGTTTATAATATAATAGAAAATATCCAATACAATACATAAGGATCGCCTCACTGCAAGAAGGTAGCTGGATCAACTGGGTCAGTTGGTGTTTGTGTGGAGTTTGCATGTTCTCCCTGTGTTGCCATGGGTTTCCTCCGGGTGCTGCGGTTTCCAAAGTCCAAAGACATGCGCTGTAGGTGAATTGGGAAAGCTAAAATTGTCCGTAGTCTTTGTGTGTGAATGAGTGGGTATAAATTTTTCCCAGTGATGGGTTGCCGCAGGAAGGGCATCCGCTGCCTAAAACATATGCTTGATAAGTTAGCGGTTCATTGTGCTGTGGCGACCCCAGATTAATAAAGGGACTAAGCCGAAAAGAAAATGAAGAATAATAAATACTATTCAGTGGCATTAAATTATGTTTGAAAATAAGATCATACAATTGTGACATATGGACATCTTCTAAAGAAAAAGCCTTGCTTATTAGTGCCATTTCATTTTTTAGGCTATCTATTGATCAGAGACTGGCCAAAACACCTCAAATCCCTCAGTGCCTTTGAGAACCTGGAGATCATCAGAGGAAGAACCAAACTACAGTGAGTCTCATCACATTAGCTCACACACAACTCACTTTCTCTACATATTAGACCTGTTTTCTCATTGAAAGCAGACACTCTTCAGCTTTAAAGTCCGCATGAACAAGAAGCTGTGACCGTTTATTTATTTATTTTCGTATTGTGCTGCAGTTCCTAGAGAAATGGAGTGTTAAATGAGAAAACAGTGGGCGTGACTTGTTCTCTTTACTGTGAGCTCATTGGATGTAGTAACCACAGCTTGACATTAACACCCACCAACCTGCCAAATGCGGGTAGATTTCAGCTGTGGCAGACACCTCCACTGGCCACTTTGGCTGGTTGAAAATTATTTTTTAAATTGTAGTTTTCTTGAAAACAAGGCTCAACGATAAGGATGACCCAATATGCGTGTAAATGCTAACTTAAAATCGCAGCACGACTGAAAGAAATAAATGTGTTCGTGCAAGCAAGAAAAAGCAAGTGAAAACCGAATCACTCGCGTGAACAGGTGATATGATGCGCGTTCCCATTTCCTTGCATAAAGCAACTATGCCTAAAATCGCAACTGGTGTGATCAGTTCTCTTTGAAATGGACTGGACAATAGGTGATGCTCGTGCTGCTGCTTTCAAAAGCCCCGGATTAAAAAAAAAAAAAGTTTTTTAGTAAGCAGCCGCGGTTGCTGCTTTCACTTTAACCATTCTTTGAACAGATATTCTATTAACTATGTGTACATGATCATCCTTTCATTATCACAAACAGTATATGTTTCACCTGCTTTCCTTTGCTTAGTTATTTTTGTTAATATGGTTTAATTATCATTTTTTTACAATAACATTGCTTTAATTAGAGATTACCTCCCCATTTATGTGTAGTTAACTAGTGATCTGAGATCTTAAGCCAGGACAGATTACTATGCATAATTTTAGATGCATGACAATAATCATTTTTAAATGTCAATTGTTTGTTTTTTAAAGAAAAGTTTTGCTGATTAAAAAGTACATGCATACAGCTATATTTGGCTTGTTTTGACTCCTTATTGAAAATTTGTGGCTATAAAATAATTATTTATTTATTTTTGGTGTGGTCAGAGATGAATTTGGAAAATCCTGAATTTTGAGCCCTGAAAAGTCATGTGAAATAAAAAACAATTGAAATGCGACACTATGAAACATATAAACAAATTTGCTCAGAACACGAAAGTGAAATGAATGAGGAGGCATGTGGACATAACACAAAATCTAAATCAACATATTTTAGCATGTCAAAGTTATATTTATGCATATAAAATATATTTTCCCAACAACAAATATGTGACTAGCGAAAATGGCAAGTGGCTAGTAATGTTGGAAATCGTTCGAGGTTACAGAAGTAACCCTTCGTTCCCCGAGGAGGGGAACGGAAGTGCCATGAATGGGAGGATTCGGATCAGAAGCCGCTTGTCTGGAGAGTATTGAACGGGCCAATGAATGAAATTAATTGGCAGCGTAAGCTTGCGCAGGTGTGCAATCCTTTTAAGCTGAAGAGACTTTCAAACAGCTAAGGGACAGTCATTATGGCGACGGAGTATGGCACTTCCGTTCCCCTCCTCGGGGAACGAAGGGTTACTTCTGTAACCTCGAACGTTCCCCTTCGGTTGGGGAACTTCAGTGCCACGAATGGGAGAAGTATGGAAAGCGCCATAATGGCTGCACCTTACCAACACCCCCGATGAGGAGATAGTCAAGCAAGCGTGACGCACCCACATCATGGGGGGCGCGGTCCTCCAACGTGTCCCTGGCCCTAATTTATCCTACTTCAACAGAAGTTTTACGGATTTAGATATATTTTTTGGGAAGTCGTGAGCATCTAGATAATTCTAGGAAATACGACAGTACGTTGGGAAGCGTGCAATCCCGATAGGGAGGACGCTGCGGAGGCCATCCGTTACCCAAGGGGGGGATAGATGGCAGAATTTACATATGGACTAGCCCTAAAAAGGGGGAGTACGCATAGCAAAAGAGTGGTTAGCGGAGAGGGAAGACACGGGTCCGCCCCGGGGGGGGACTTAACCGTGGCGGAATAAGCATATGGGATCGCCTAGTGGGGATCACGCATAGCAGGCACCTATACCCAAAACGCGGGCTGACCAGCGGGCAGACCTACAACGTAGTGGGCCAGCAAGTGACTCCTCCGCTGAGTCAGTGCTGGGGGCCATGGAGGAATCTGCAGGGCTCACCTGACGGGGAACTTTACTGACAGATAAAAAGGCGCACTTACCTTCGTGTTAAGGAGAATGGCGCAGCAAGCGTGTTTCAACACCCTACCGAGTTGTCTCCTCAATCACCAAAGGGTTACCTAATACCCTTGAGGAAACCGGCTCCACTCGCAGATTGTAAAACCTTGCAAATGTGTTGGGTGTCGCCCAGCCCGCAGCTCTACAGATGTCTGTTAGAGAGGCGCCGCGTGCACGCGCCCAAGAGGATGCAACGCTCCGAGTGGAGTGTGCATGTACTCCCGGGGGACACGGCTGACCTTGACTCGAATAAGCGAGTGAAATGGCATCCACAATCCAGTGGGATAATCTTTGTTTCGATACGGCACTTCCCTGCTGCCGACCGCCATAACAGACAAAGAGCTGCTCAGATGATCTAAAATTCTGAGTACGGTCCACATAAATGCGCAGAGCGCGAACTGGACAAAGTAAAGAAAGGGCTGGGTCTGCCTCCTCCGGGGGCAGCGCTTGCAGGTTCACTACCTGATCTCTAAAGGGGGTGGTAGGAACCTTGGGCACATAATCGGGGCGGGGTCTCAGGATGACGTGAGAGTAATCCGGCCCGAATTCCAGGCACGAGTCACTGACCGAAAATGCCTCCAGGTCCCCGACCCTCTTGATGGAGGCCAACGCAACCAGCAGAGCTGTCTTCAGGGACAGAAATCTTAGAGATATTGATTCGAGTGGCTCAAAGGGATCGGATCGCAGACTCGTGAGAACGAGGGCGAGATCCCAAGAGGGCATGAGAGGGGGGCGAGATGGATTAATTCGCCTAGCACCCCTAAGGAACTGGATGACCAGGTTATGCTTTCCCACGGTGCCGCCAGCTACCGCGCTATGATAAGCAGAGATGGCGGCCACGTAAACCTTGAGAGTGGAGGGCGACAGCCTGCTGTCCAACTTCTCTTGAAGGAAAGAGAGCACAACACTAATCTGGCAATTTCGGGGGTCTTCTCTGCGAGAGACGCACCATTCAGTGAATAGACTCCACTTCAGGGCGTAGGCGCCTCGTGGAGGGGGCTCTAGCCTGAGTGATGGTATTAACCACCGCAGTCGGTAGGTTACCTAAGTCTTCCTCGCGTCTAGGGACCACACGTGGAGGTTCCAAAGATCGGGGCGAGGGTGCCAGATGGTGCCCTGTCCCTGAGAGAGTAGGTCCTCTCTCAAAGGGATCCGCCAGGGGAGGGCCGTCGCGAGGAGTGAGAGCTCTGATATCCAGGTCCGGTTGGGCCAAAGGGGCGCAACTAGCAGAACCTGTTCCTCGTCCTCCCTGGCCTTGTACAGAAACTGCGCGAGCAGGCTCACTGGGGGAAACGCATACTTGCGCATGCCCCGAGGCCAGCTGTGGGCCAGTGCATCCGTGCCGAGAGAGCCCTCGGTCAGGGAAAAAAACAACTGGCAGTGAGCGTTCTCGGGGGAAGCAAACAGATCGATCTGGGCCTCCCCGAATCGCGCCCATATCAGCTGAACAGACTCGGGGTGGAGTCTCCATTCTCCAGGGCGTAACAGCTGTCGTGAGAGCGCATCGGCTGCACGATTGAGCGTGCCTGGGACGTGAATGGCGCGCAGCGATTTCAGCCGCGGGTGACTCCAGAGGAGCAGACGGCGGGCGAGCTGAGACATGCGGCGAGAGCGCATACCCCCCATGCGGTTGATATACGCCGCCGCCGCCATACTGTCCGTCCTGACCAGCACGTGTTGCCGCTCCAGCACCGGTAAAAAGCGGTGGAGAGCGAGGAACACTGCCAACAGCTCTAGGCGATTGATATGCCAATGCAGCTGGGCACCCTTCCAGAGGCCAGCAGCCGCATGCCCGCGACACACGGCCCCCCAACCCGTGTTGGAAGCGTCTGTTGAAACAACAACATGGCTGGACGCCTGTCCTAGAGGCACACGGGCCTGTAGGAACGAGGGGTCGTTCCAAGGGCTGAGGGCGCGGCGACACAGCGCAGTAACCGAGACCCGGTGTGTGCCCGCGTGCCATGCGCGTCTGGGGACCCGATCGTGAAGCCAGTGCTGAAGTGGTCTCATATGGAGCAACCCGAGCGGCGTGACGGCGGCTGCGGATGCCATATGCCCCAGGAGCCTCTGAAAGAACTTCAGTGGGACCACTAGTTTGCTATCGAGCTCCCTCAGACAGTTCAGCAACAGGCGAGCGCGTTCCTCGGAGAGGTGCGCTACCATGGTGATCGAGTCCAGCTCCATCCCAAGAAAAGAAATCCTCTGCACGGGGGCGAGTTTGCTCTTTTCTCGGTTGACCTGAAGCCCCAGTAGGCGGAGATGCCGAAGCACCTTGTCCCTGTGCATAATCAATTGCTCCCGCGAGTGGGCTAAAATCAGCCAGTCGTCGAGATAATTGAGTATGCGAATGCCCGCGAGCCGAAGGGGCGCTAGGGCACCCTCCGCGAGTTTGGTGAAGACCCGCGGAGACAGAGAGAGCCCGAAGGGGAGGACCTTGTACTGCCACGCTCGACCCTCGAACGCAAACTGCAGAAATTGGCGGTGGCGTGGAAGAATGGAGACATGGAAATACGCGTCCTTCAGGTCTATGGCTGCAAACCAATCCTGAGGACGAACGCATTGGAGAATGCGCCTCTGCGTGAGCATTCTGAACGGCAGCCTGTGCAGACAGCGGTTCAAAACACGCAGATCTAGGATTGGCCGTGACCCACCGCTCTTTTTGGGTACGATGAAGTATGGGCTGTAAAACCCACTCTCCATCTCGGCTGGAGGAACCGGCTCGATTGCACCCTTCGCCAGGAGGGCAGC